GAACGGTGGACAATTATTAGAAAAGTCCAATTAAAAAAAATATGGGCGCATAGTCTGAAAATTCATTAAACTGTAGTACCTTGAAACCACTAATTTGATTATAATTTGGCGATGAAAGTAATAAATATTCAGTTGCACTGTTTCCCTTTTTAGTACAGAACGTAAAGTTTCCATGCATTCTGATCACTTCCTAGTCTACCGTTTGCTACAATTAAACCTGTATCGTAACACAATTGAAAAAGTTTACGGCCAAATTCGTTAACTGTCTTGGGCTTTTAACGTGTTCTACACTATTAACATAATTATCCAAATCATCATCATATAAAAAGAAATATATCTATCAAGATACTATAATTTAACCAAGTTTCACTTAGAAATAAAATGTCATATTCATCGATCAGATTAAAAAAAATCATTGTCATTATATAGACTGACGTCATGAATGTTCCAACATAAGCATTTTATACATTCAAGTTGTTCTCTGGGTAAACCCTATGGAACGTATTCTTTACAAAAATAAGGAGATGTGGTATGATTGCCAATCAGACAAATATCCACTAAAGTTCGAATAAAATGGATGTAAGCAATTGTAGGCAACAGTACGCCTTTTAACAATCAGAAAACCCATACCGTATAATCGGCTATAAAAGGCCACGACATGAAAAATATGAATCAATTCAATTGAGAAAACTAACGGCCTAATTTATAACAAAACAATTTACGAAAAACAAATATGACAGACATGAACCAAAGGCAACAACTGAACTACGGGCTCCTGATTTGGGACAGGCACATAAAGAATGTGGCTGAGTTAAACATGTTTGTAGCGCTCAACCCTCCCATAACCTGGGACAGTGGTGTTACAGCACAACATAGGAACAAACTTTAAAAATCAGTTGAAATTGGCTTAACTCATCAGATCTATACAAAGTAGAAAAACATCTAACAATAACACTGAAATGCCGTTTACATAAATCTTGTCTTTGACGAAATAGGCTTTTAGATTTCTTTCGCGCAAATCCTTCAAGATTGGCAGTTTCTCTTTAGTATCTCGATAGACTGTCTGAGATTCCGTATGATGAACCTTTTAACTCTTTTGCATTTTTTTAACAAATCGCGGTTTTCGAATGAATCAAATTTAACAACAATCGGTCTTGTTTTATTACTTTTTTTTCTATTCTGTATGAGTCAGTAACTTAGATTTCGGATGCAACATGCTCAATTTTCAAGTTTTCTTCACAAAAATTCATTATTGATTCTGGTCAATTTTCATCTTCACTTTCTTCTTTCGTCTTATACATCCTTGACTTTCAAATGTTTGGCTTTGGGCGTTCCTGATGAAGGTAAATCCAGAATAGCATTTCGGACGTATGAAATTTATAAAGTGTTGTTTTCATTTTTTACAATTTTTTGTACACATAATTCTACTTTCACGCTAAATGATTGTCTGTAGAACAAGAAAAACATAGTTATACATAATACGCAAACATTAAAACGACATGAGCGAGTTGTAACATATCATTTACAGTTAAAAAAAATCTACTCATTTTCTTTTAAAAGTACCAAGATTTTCACATATCATATATAGTGCATACTAGCAAAGCCGAATCAGAACCGATTAAATGATCAGGTACTGTTTTACCATATACCCTATTTGATCCGTCTATTCCAAAGTATTGAGGAGCTATACGTGAATGATTTTGTCGTCGAATTTGTATTAGGCCTTACTACAGCAAGATTATTGTTTGCAGAAGATCTTAAATTTCTGCTGTGTAGGTTTATAATTGGACAACATAGTTCATTACGGTAATTAGGTGCTTTATTATTGAGAATTTTATAAACAAGAATTAACGTATGATAAGAAATCCTATATTTAAAATTTAACCATTTAAGCTCTTCAAATAAATTTACAGTAGGTGTTAGTATTGGTTCAGTATAATCCTGGTAGCTCTGTTCTGCATTTTTACTATTCTGTAAGTCCACATTCTTCACAATTTTCCAGTATCGAGCAAAACAAATCAAACATGGGCAGAAATAGCATTTTAAAATAAATGTATACTACTATTATCTATAGATTTCTTAATTTTGGATAACAGTGCAATACGAGAATATATACTTTTACAAACATGGTCAATTTGAAATTTTCTATTAAATTTTTGTCAATATATATACACCTAGAAGCTTTTGTGTTTCAAGAGATGTTATTGGGCTATCTTGTATTGATATATCTAGTTTATGACCTACCAAAGGTCGTTTTTTATTAGTTCCAATCAGCAAAGAAGAAAAGGATTTGAAAAGGATTTAAAAAGACTAAGAAGTTTACACTAAAGTTGACGGAAAACACCAACTAAAATACATTTATTTCAACTGGTAGGGTGAGCATTTTCGAACTGCAGAAACATCACTTTATAAATAATAAGTTGGGTTTAGAATTTAACAAAGACTTTAAAAACTAATTTCTGTCCCATGTAGAATTTCACTTTGACATTTGCTTCTTTTCCTTTATTCAATTATCTACAGTAATGAAACAGCTGACAATGATGTCTTGTGGTTTTTCTTAATGTCTAGGTGCTTACTGGACACAATATGATGATATGCATACCCCCAATCAAATCGTTAAATATAGTGTGCAGACTAAAACTCAGTCTGTTCATTGCATTCAGATGTCAATTTTAACTGCAATACTTCAGCAAACATTCTAACAAAGTTGACAAGCAACAAAATGTTTGGTCGACATGAAATTAAGTAATAGCTCTAGCATTCATTTTTTTTTTAATTATCTTCCCTCTTGTTGCAATATGTATTATAACCCAATACACATGTAAACTTTGCACTTCTTATATCTTTTGCAGGATGTGGCCTCAAATGGAGTAAATTCGTCATGTCTTTCAGTTTTTACGCGCTTTGCAGAAAAAACGTCGATGCAGGGAGTGCCAAATGTGTATAACTCAAAACTAGTATATGCCAAGATTTTATGGACAATTTTACTCATCCTCTCTGTATGTGCTATGGGACTTCATCTGTTTTATTTAATAGATCAGTTCTTAAAATACCCAGTACAAACAAAAATTAAACTTGGCTTCAGTAACTTACAAGTGCCTGCTGTGACAATATGCAACATGAATGTTGTTCGCAAAAATAGCCTTCCCTTGACCTCCAAAGCATTCCAAGAATTGGTTGCATTTGTTGAACCTCGAAGAATCTTACAGAATAATCAAAAGGTTAACATATATTATTTATTATTACATACTTGTCAGATTGAAAAAATCGGTTATTATTTCCTATAAAGATCAAGAACCTGGACTTGTATTTTGATAAGAAAAGTTCTCAAGATCAGAAAATTCCACTTCCAGTAATTTACTAACAGTAATTTATAATATATGACGTCTTTTTTATTCTTATTTTCCAAGGCGGGAAAAATATTAAAACAATTCAAATGTCGTACATCTGCTCGCCTCCGGCACATTTTATGCACCATATTGCCATTAAATATACAGCTTAGGACATATATCAAATAAAAAAAAACTATTTATGTTTTCGTTTCTATTGGTGTTTTGTATGTACAATTGGTCACCTATCCAGAATTTTTTTTTTTACCATTAACATTGTGCGATATCTGATTTCAGAATTTTACATTATATGTTAATGTTAATAAGAAGATTTAATTAAACACTCAATTTCACACAAGTCAAAATTGTGAAAATGTTATTTTCTATTTAGGGAAGACGAAAAAGATTCGTAAAAGAATTTGAAAAAATCAATTTTACTGATTATGAGGAAAATGTTATTGGTCCTCCCCAGCCGGGAAAACTTGGAACGCCGATGGATGAAACAGCAATGGTTAACCAACTATTTACTAGTCTTTACATGGAACATTCGAGGTGAGAGTTAAAATTCAAAAATTGCTATAAAATAGAAAAGATTATCTGTATAAGAAGCTCTAAAAATTGCTATAATATGGAAACGATTATCTGTATATGAAGCTCCAAAAATTGCTATAATATGGAAACGATTATCTGTATATTAAGCTCCAAAAATTGCTATTATTTGGAAAAGATTATCTGAATAAGAAGCTCCAAAAATTGCTATAATATGGAAAAGATTATCTGTATAAGAAGCTCCAAAAATTGCTATAATAAAAGTGGGTTGCACAAAGTGGTCCTAACTTAGGACATCTCTTAAAGTTGGTCATAAAGTAAGGACTACACGAGAGGTGTCATTTAATGGTCTTAGGATAGTCATAAGTTAAGCTAACATGAGTTATAAACAAATATGGCTATTGTAGTTTTAATGCACCTCAGACGACGACAACACAAATTTAAATATACGCAGAAATAGAATATTCTGAGACCCTGACAATCCAAATGAGTTTGAAGCTCTGATTCTGTGAAATTGGGACTCGTTTTCATAACCAAAACTTTATTGGTTGACGGATTATCAAAATGATATATCAACAATTAACATTCGATGTATTTATAACACGATTTTAATAATATCCTTTAACCTGATAATAACCTATACAGTGACAAATTGAATTCAAACCACTTGTACATAAATTGATATCAGTTTATTCTTTATTGTTTTTGCCATTTTGTATTTAATTATGTTTAGTGGTGTATTATTAATAGATTATTTATATAATTTATACTTATTTTTATATTAATTTTGCAAGTTATCTAATTATGGAGTATTAGTCAATACGTTTAGTAATTTATGGGAAGCACATATTCCATAAAACCATGTTAATATTTAAAAATTTAAAGAACTTGCGACAGGTTTAGGATATCATTGCTAAGATCATCCTAAGACAGCTTCGAGGCGAGGTCTGAGATATGTCCTAAGATAGTCATAAGAGGATCTATCTTATGACAGGTCTTAGGATAGCTTCGTGAAACCGGTCCCAGATTTTTGTTTTAAATGCACATTATTGAAGGCTTAAAACCGGTCCCAGATTTTTGTTTTAAATGCACATTTATTGCAGGCATATCGTTTTATTTTAGAAAAGAAAGAATCCGAATTGGACATCATATTGATGATATGTTGGTTTCATGTTCATTTGCTGGACAAAAATGTTACGCAAGGTGAGCATTGTTTTAGATGAAGTATGACGCTGGAAGCTTTATTAATTAACATCTATTTTTATTCATGCGGTTTTAAGTTTGAAAAGGAGTCATAGAATAGGCTTTTGTGTACAAGATATCGATCAAGTAAACTATGTGTCTGTCCCAAGTCAGGAACTTGTAGTTCAGTGATTGTCATTGGTTCATGTCTGTCATATATGTTTTTCGTAAATTGTTTTGTTATAAATTAGGCTGTTGGTTTTCTCAATTGCATTATTTCAAATTTTTAATGACGGGGCCTTTTATAGCCGACTGTACGTTATGTTTTTTTTCTTTTTTGAGGGTCGTACGGTGCCTATAATTCCTAACTTTCACTTCATTTGAACTTTGATGATATTCGTCTCATTGGCAATCAAACCACATCTCCTTATTTTTATATGGAATTAATTATAGCTAACCCAATTTTTTTTGTTAACTTTTAGCAATTTCACATTGTTTCAAACTGAAAACTATGGAAACTGTTGGAAATTGGAATCCGACCAGTTTATTGAAACTGCACCGGGATATCAAGAAGGTATACTTACTCAATATTTACATCAATATATCAAGAAGGTACACATACTCAATATTTACACCGGTATACACTTACTCAATATCTTAATCGGGATATCAAGAAGGTTTGCCTTCTCAATATTTACATTGGGATATTAAGAAGTTGTACTTTTTGAATATAAAAATCGGGATATCCAGAATGTATACTGACTGAACATTGGCGGATCAGGGGGGAGGGGGTCCCCGGGGTTGGAACCCCCCTTTTTTGACGATCAATGTTTTTGAATGGGGACATATGGTTGGACCTCTTCCCCCCCACTTTATCCTGGGTTGGCTAGATCCGCCCCTGCTGAATATTTACATCGGGATATCAAGAAGGTAAACTAACCGGGTAAATATTTAATGTTAGATCAAAGTTATATAGAACAAAAACATGATAAAAAATAGTTTCTAAAGATTTAAGTTTATATTTGCCGGTAAAGAGAGAAAGCAAAGCACAGTACAGTACATCAGAAACAAATCGAATGGAGACATTAACATCCAATTGGCCACAGGAAAACCAAGTCATTATCGAAAATAAATCAAATAGTGAAGAGCATTGGGTATAAGACAAACGAAAGGCATGAACACTTCTTTTTCATATACTCTGGTTTAATTTAGCTCATAAAAGCAGGGGCAGAAAACTTTGTCCGGACATTACTATATTACAGTATAAAATTTCAAATGCTCTTAAAATTTGACTCGAAAGAATTTATTGTGTTTTTCATTTGGGAAGTTTGAAAGAAAACAATAGAATAAATACTTTTAAGAATTGCTGTCTTTAATTCCAAACGGGTGATTTGTTTGGGTTTTTTTTTTGACTGACGCAGTCAGTTACAATTTTGATTTGTGACCTAAAGACGCTTAACTATGGTAACATCTTGCATGATGTCACCAGTCTTTACTCTGATTGGACGAAATTACGGAATTGTACAAAAACCAACAAAAAAAGATATATGCTACAATAAAAGGAAAACATTACGGACATAAAAAAAAACCTGATTAAGATTCGTGGTTTGTTTTAAACTATATGCTCGCATCTGAATGCGTCAGGTATCTTTTTTAAAGATAGTACTTGGTTTTTTTTATGACATAGGTCTTGACATAGTTTTGTTCATGGAGAATAACGAGGCACTAGCTGGAATAAGCAGTGGTTATGGGATCAGAGTAAACATTCACGAACAAAATACCTTACCATTTCCAACTGAGGAGGGATTCCTAGTATCGACAGCTTTTGAAACCCATATTGCATTAAAGAAAGTAAGTTTGTCTTCAACAGTAGACAAGTTTCGAAACAATATGGCAAGTGTCGAAACAATATGGCAAGCTCTAAATCGTCCCGAGTCTAGACGAGAGGTGAATATATCTAACATGATCATCAGTTAAATTTACCTAAAATACATCAAGATAAAACAAAAGACAACAAATGACTAGGTTCTTCACTTGTGACAGTCACATGAACATCCATTGTTTTTTGTTTTTGTTTTGTGTTTTTATCTCACCTCTGTTAATCTTGAAGAATAACAGAATGTACATAAACGAACGTACAATAAGTATTAACACAGAAAAAAGCAACAAAATCTGTTGTACCGGTATATATACTAAGTAATTGATCACATAGTCACATGTACAAACAGAACAATAATATCATATATATACACTGAAATCAATTTCAAAATACATAAGCTTCTGATATGAAGTTCTATACTCTAATAGTGATTGTTATACTTCAGAGTAGATTTCATACTACAACATCATAAAGAGGTCAGAAAGACACAATCTTGAACAATGCCCAGAATAAATTTTTTACAGATTTTTAATCAGCCGAAAAAAAATTTAGTCTTGATTCAAACTTTTGTAAAAAAACAAATTGACGCTTATTCCAGAATTTACCAGACGCAATGTTTGAACAATAGCAATATAGCCATAATATAAAATGGTCTATTAGGCAAAAAGAAAGATTAAAAAGACAATTTCAAACTTTTTAATTCTATTAATGATATAATAATAAAATCTGGGTTTCAAATTTTCCTTTTGAGTACCTTCTTGCATATATGTAACCGTACTTTCATACAGTAAATCTCGATATTTGTGAAACCGTTTAGTAAATGCTTTGACGAATTTATGATACCTATATCCCTGCTGTAAATTTGTATGCAATGTAAATATTACGCCAATTGAAATTTGAGAAATCACTGAAAATATGCGCATTTCAAATCGACTATAAAATATACAGTCCGTAAGAAGGAACCAACGCACCATCACAACCAGGGAAAGGAAAATAAACAATAGGAAAAGAAAAGATGTTGAGTTTCTAATACATTTTGATCTGAAAAAAAAATCAAATATCAAAGTCTTAAAAGAGCCAACGTTCACTATAAAATTTTGAAAAAGTAAGAATGTTTTGCGGTGTATAAATTTCATTTGCATCTTTAGAAAAATCCGAATTGTTTACAGAGAATATAGAATATGCCGTATACATATTTGCTGTTACTGTTGAAAACAGAATCTAAAACCTATACAATTTTCTATGCAATTAGTGAATCATGAAAGTGAGACTAGACTACATCTTTACAGCGTATAATAGATCTTTATACAGAATACGTTTAAACATTTAAAGATATAAAATCTTATACGAATAGTTAACATCATCTAATAGGCATCCCTATGTTTCGAATGGGAAAATGTGTAGCATGTGACTCTTCATTAAATTATGTCTGGTTGGTAGCTAGAAATTTGGAATACAAAACACTCTGAAAAAAGGCTGTTTTATGGTTCAATATTTAGGCGTTCAGTTCGTTATGATTAAACAGTGGCCTCTCAGCGTTGGCGAATCAATAGTGGTAAGAATCTAGGGACTAACTTATTTGCATAGAAATTTAACAGTTTTTTTACAGAAAAATACATAAAAGGAGACATTGACTTTTATCTCGCTAAAGATATACATGTATACAATTATTCATTTAGATTATGTTATCTTTTGTATAAGAGAGAGTCGAATGATATCAAAGTGACATTCAAACTCATAAGTTGAAAATAAAATGACAACGCCATGGCTAAAAAAGAAAAAAGACAAACAACAGTACACAAAACACAACATAGAAAACCAAAGACTGAGCAACACGAGTCCCACCAAAAACTTGGGGTAATCTTAGGTGCTCCGGAAGGGTAAGCCAATCCGGCTCCACATGTGGCACCCGTCGTGTTTCTCATGTTAGTACACACCTGGTGCCAAGTCTAATTCGGTAGGTCACATTCGGAAAAAAGGGGACGGGATTGTATGTGTTCTCTTTGGTTTGTTTGTGTATGTACGCAAGTGTGTGTGAGTATTTCTAAAGATTTATAGTCCTATAGCTCTAAAAGATAAAGCGAAGAAAAAATCTTCAATAGTATGTATTATCTTTGACAAAACAATTCATTTGTGAAACTACATTGACAACGAATAATTATACTAATTTTAGATAGATATATTACGAAGTGATGGAAATCATGGAGACTGTAACTCTTATGCTGATTTTGAAGCTGAATATGGTTATAAGTTCACTAGACAGGTAGGAACACAATAATCTGAAGCGTACCATTCAAGTAATAAATCGCTTCACAGTTCATACACAAACATTAGTAGATTTTATGGTCTCCATTTTCTGAACGCAATATTGATATATGTCAATGGAGAAGATTTTTTGTTCGTTTCGAGGTATAATGTCCATTACATTGTACGAGGATCATGAATATATTGGGGTTTTTTATAGAGTGTACTGGAAATGGTGAAGAGATCTTCATAATTCTTTATAACATTAAATTGTCTATTAGATATGCATGAACATAAAATTAACTATTGTTGTAAGAAAGAGCAGAAAGACTTTTACTTGTGCTGACAATATATTTAGTTATCAAAATGCGTTTTTGTTTTTGATGAGCGTGCCTCTTTGAACATTTTACCGGATTCCTCTTGAAATGATGATAAAAAAATGGCTTACCCAAGACCAGGTTTATATTACTAAATGCATTTTATATTACAAAAGACCCCAAAATATATGTATATCATGAACCTGGTAAGGAAATACAAACTTTAGTCGAAGGACCTGCATTATAAGAAAATCATGAATAATAGAAGAAGAAAAAACCGATAAAGACAACAGAACATTTCAAAGAAAAGTTTAGATTTAACTTGTGGAACTTATTAAGGATGTATTCTTCTGATGTTTCAGTCTCGTTGAAAACTCGTTCGGGAATTATTTCCAAAACATGTGATACAAGTGGAAAATATCAATGAATTTAAAAAATATTATAATCAAACTAAACTCTGTAAATAAATTGTGTAATTACAATAAGAAGTTTTTGAGTAAACAAATTGTATAACCAATCCGGTCAGTGTCATCAGCAAAGATGTTGAGATAATGGATGAGGGGTACAAAGAAATGTTTTTACCAAAAATATGTACATCCCATATCATTTTTTTCTTTTCAAAATTCTTAGATATGTATTTTTTCAATCATTTATAACAAAAAAAATGAAAAATATGCTTTTTTTCTGAAAGAAAAAAGAGAAAAATCCCAAATTTACAAATTGAAAGCATGGTCAATTTGACACGAAAAAGCAACAAAATTTTATAAAACTTTCTAATATTAACACCAACCTATAGTTTTTTTTTTTATGTTAAATTTATTCAGATTGGTCCACTCCATATTTTTTGAAAGTATGAAAAAAAGTTTAGTTGTGAAACTGATTTTTTTCACGATAAAAGCGCTAAAATGAATAAAAATTGATGAAAAATGTGAAAATCATTAAAAATGGGGTACTTTCAAATGGCCGTAGCAAAAAAAGAAGTGCATCACCATATTATTTTTTTAGCAATTACTTTCTTACAGTCTTATAAACCCAAAAATCAGGTTAAGAAAAAAAGTTTAATTCTAGAAATGTTTGGCTCCTCAGAGGTGTACATCCTTAAACCAAAGTGTGTGAACTAAAGAACTCTTGAAAAGTAAGCAGTGTCTGCTCCATTTTATCATTTTTTTTAAAAAAAGAAAGATACATTTGACGTTGGGGAATTACGTTTCAGAAGTAAAAAATGACGGACAATCAACAGTATGATATTATTTTTGTTTTGTTTTCTAAGTTATGCTTAGCATTATGCTTACAAGATGAGATGCTGGAAAGATGTGGATGTCATTCTAGTACTTCAGAAGAGTACAGAGTCCAATTACACAAAAATCATACACGCATGTGCAGGTCCAAACCTGGTAGGTAAATTTTGAGACTATATTTTGATATGCTTGTCAACAAATAAATAATTGAACTTGCATTTGCCCTAAGATGATCCTGATCAAGTATTGATACTTTGCAGCCGAATCGTTCTAGTTTGTATCAGATTGGTTTAAACTAAAAAAATCATCTATTCTAAAAGCTCTAAACCAATAAAAACGTATATGAAAAGAATCCCCTTTTGCATAAATGAATGAGTGTTATACTAGTATACATACCTAACAAGACGATACCAAATACAGCAGGAATATTTTTTGGTCGGAGATTTCCTTGTCTCACTCTTTCGGAAATGAGTTTAAATACTTCACAGATCGATATCAAATATGACAATGACTTTTGTGAAGTACAGACACGATCGGAACGAAATGAGGATTTTTTATAAAGAGACTAGTAGTACCATATATTATTTTGTCAAGTTTTGAATTGTTTAACGACGGATGTGATTTCTATAACTCACATGGTCCATACATGAAAAACCATGGTAAAAAAAGAAAAATGATTAAAAGACAAACAACAGTCTACAAAACACTACCCAGTTTGAATCTGTTGGTACTTGTAAATGCTGCTTTGGAATACCCATTTTAACAAGAAAAGTTTATTACAAACTAAATGCGTTATAGCATCATGCATACAAAACAATCTTTTATAGTAAGAATCATACATTGAAACACCAAAAAGTCATTAACGAATACTTTGAAATAACCCTTCAACAAATGAACGATGCTTTATTGTTGTTCTCCATCTTGACAGTTAGTAAAAGTCCTGCAACGATTAACAAAAGACTGGATATCTGATAATAATTTAATTTTGGATGTAACGCGTCTTCTGATTGGCTGACGTTGTTTTGTTTATCAGCTCATAGACATAATTTTGTCATGTGACCGTGACGTCATCAACGTTTTTTCATGGTTTACTCCGGTTTAAAATGGAATTTAGAATTAAATTATAAGAAATGACTGTAATATTTTTTCTGTCTATTCGAAATAACATAAAAAATGTGGTGCACACTTTAAAATAACCCGCTACGCGGGTTATTCAGTGTGCACCACATTTTTGATGTTATTTTTTTTATAGACAGAAAAAATATTACAGTAATTCCTTAATGAAAACTAAGTAAGACAATTAACATTGATGCAAGAGGAAATTATTTGGTGATATCTTAGAATCTACATCAATAAACAGACTTGTGTAAATAGATAAAAATCTTTTTGTCATAAATACGGTTAATAGGTACATTGCATCAATAATTTTGAATTGTCGATTCTAATATGACGTGCTTCTTTCGCTTTGTAAACAACAGCGTGATGAAATTGTCGATATATCTTTACTTAGTGCAGACTCAGAGATGTACATATCAATGGCTGTTACTATTTACCTCCCACGTAAATCCTATGTGGATTTCGTTGTGTTCAAATTGAAATTGAAAAAGAAACTACAGAACCATTATTCCTATTCTAATGCATAAAAAAAAAGTTATTATGCATACGATCTTAAAAAATGTATAAAATAAAAATAAAAACAAAATTTCGCGAAATTTCATGAATGATCTTGGCGCATTAACGTCACGGTGTCAAAATATGACGTCATACGAATGAAAACTCTCAAGCTGAAGATTATTCCGTTACGTGTACGCTCTTAATTCGGATAATATCACATTAACATGGAATTTTGAGGTAGGTGTTGTTTCATTTTCTATCATCTATTGCATCATTCGCCTATTCATGGATTTCAGCAAGTCAACATGGCTCACTCCAGTCCTTAGTCAAGTTACGACGTGTCAACTGTGGATTTGACAGTAAATAGTAGCCAACGAAAACAATGTTTGCGTTAAGAATTATAAGGATTGAACACATTTTTTCTAGTGGTTATTTAAGAAATAATTCATGCAAGCCTTAGATTTATTTTAAATTTGTAGCTTTTATCTTACAGGGGTAAAATAGAACAGCCATACACACGGCACTCTTACCTTCGCATCAGTTTTTCAAATTACCGTATTTGTTCTATTAGAATCGAAATAATTCATGCAAGCCAAAGATTTGTTATCATTTTCACATGGTGTGGGCCGTTACATTCGTTAATTTCATCCCTCGATAACGCTCGAGATAAAATTCGACTGAATATAACGACCCAGGCCATGTGAAAATTTCCAACAAATCAACAGTATGGCTTGCATTAATTATTTCTTAAAAGAATTATATGAATTTGTACAACCATCAAAAATCCAAAAACAGACAATTATATGCATTTAAAAAACTAATGATCAATTGTCACACGCAGGGTTTTTGTAATCCAATTCTTTTTTATTTTTATTTCATTTAAGAAATACAATTATTTGATCTTGTTAAATCATTTATAGTAAACGACGAATACGTTATTCATTTAGACCGTGAATGTGAAGCACTGGTTAAACTAGAACAAAGACGTAGACTTGTACCATGTCGATGCACAAATCCATGCAAGTAAGTATGAGAGATAGTTAAGTCAGAACACGAAAATGTACAAAGCGATCATGTGCAAAAAGGAAAAAAAAAGAGAAAACACGACCACTTCTAATTCTGAATTCATCACTAGAATATAGAATCTCTAAATGCAATGTGTACCCAAAATACACATCCTGTTTCTATGTTAGCTTGGTAAAAATTACTGTTGTCCATTATAAGTAATAAGAATCTTTTTTTTTACTTTTGGTTTTACGTCATAAATTTCAATTACCACTTATTTCAAATTTACTAAAACGGCGCTAACAATACCATCAATATAGATTGTCACTATTTAGCGAGAAAAATCATATAAAAAGCTTAATGCACTGAAAATATTTGCTGCATATGAAAAACAGTGGTAAAAAATGATTTATAAAAGTAGAGAATGTACGTTTTTGGTTTATAACGATTTTATTTGCTCAAATAGACAAATAAGATAGGTCACAAGTTTAACCAACATACGAAGTCTTCTCCTTTACATACTATAACAATTACGATTATACAGAGCATGCTATATAAATTTTGGCTATCCTCGGTGAGCAGCTCTAGATTTGTTGTCATTTGAAAACGATGAATGTTAGTTTATAGATCGTACCTTATATCGGTGTATTTATTGCAATCAAAGAAAAAAATGAAACGCATCCTCACGTGGAGCACCACAGGACTCATACTTGATTCAAATAGGTCGTTATTTAGAAATGAGGCTGAACATCGCAGCTGTGTTAAAATTACATTCCATTTCCGCGGACCACACATGAAATGCCTGCCCTAGGAACAGTCTTTGTTTCGTATGCATTATTCAACATGTACGTAAAACCGGTAATTTTATTCCTGTAATGTCATGATATTTGCCGCTTTTTACATATGTTCTATACTTTTTATAAACCTATTTCACAAATTTGTAATTGACTGTACTTCAGATGCAGATGCAGTTCAACGAGTTCTGAGTGCATACAAAATTTTACCAGATCCGAAATATCACCAAATTACGTATACTTTTAAAGGATGTCAAAACAACGTCCCTATGAAATTTTAAAAAAGCGTTAATCTTTGAGGCATATCATTCGATTCCGCTGGTTACCTGTCTAGCTTTATAAATATACGGGATATTGGCGTGTTATTGTAGCATAATAATCTAAAATAAATTGGTGTTGGTAAGAATTTGTTAGAAAACTGTTATAGGGATGTATAAATACGCAGGCACGTCTTTTGTAGTTTTCTTCACATCCATTGTCTATTCATAGATATAAGAAGATGTGGTATGTGTGCCAATGAGACAACTCTCCATCCAAGTCCCAATTTGTAAAAGTAAACCATTATAGGTCAAAGTACGGCCTTCAACACGGAGTCTTGGCTCACACCGAGCCATTATCGTTATCCTTAACGAGAACAGGACTGATATGCATAAAGCTACTTAAGTTAAGATTTGTTCCGAACAGACGGATTTTTCTACATGTCCCCAGATAAATTAGTTCTACGATTGGATATCTCAGCCCAGGTTAACAAAATATCCCAAAAGGTTATTTTGACGCACAAGATCTAGCTTTGTTTGGAGTTCAAGCGATTCCTTTTTGTTTTGTGTTTGTTACCTCGTTTTGTCGCTTCTTAATCTATTTACGATATTTGGAAGTCGATGAACTACTGTTGCCTATATTTAAAAGGGTCGATTAGGATGGAAGACGGTGTATTTTAAAAGACTGCCACTGGAAAAGGATATACATTTTGCCTTGCAACAATCATACAGACACTTTAAAGAATTGTTGCAACAACCATACAGGCACCTCAAAGAATTGTTGCAACAACCAAACAGACACCGCGAAAAATTGTTGCAACAATCAAACAGACACCGCGAAGAATTGTTGCAACAATCAAACAGACACCGCGAAGAATTGTTGCAACAACCAAACAGACACCGCGAAGAATTGTTGCAACGTTTCTTTTATTAACGATGCACTCTCCCAACTTGCTGTTGGAATAAAAATTAACATATTAAAGGATGTGTCGAATTTGAATGATTTTAACATAGAAATATACTAGATTTATATAAATGCATAACAAATTTCCATTATACTGTTTTGGCAAGTTTCATCAAATCTTTCTTTTACACATAATTTAAAATCGTATTCTCAGACTTCTTGAAACATAGACAGAAATAAATAATAAAAAGGGTACATCCTTTTCATTTTTTAGCAGTTAAAGACGATACATTAATCATTGTTAATATAAAATGAAATCGTTTCAGAGAAACGAAATATTCGCGGGTTATAACTGCCAGACAATGGCCTACCGATGAGTACGCTGTAAGTATAGTTTCCTTATCGGCTAATGTAGAGATAGTACATCAAAATACAAAATCCTACTGCAACTAAGATAAATTCATAGATAAAATCACTTAACTAATTTTAAGATTTTTTTCTTGAGATTGTCTGTCTTTATACAGTATAAATATATTCAATGCAATGACTTAGATGCTGCCAGCGTTCAATACAAATCGATTGCAATTTAATTATTCTCATCATCATATGGAAACGATAAGAAAATCTGTTATACGTCCTAAAATATTAACATATAAATATGAATATATAAAAGCAGCAGTTATTTTATTACAACAAATATCTTCAACGATCAGCTAAAGAGCTGAAACCCTGATAAAAGACAAAGATCAGCTAAGGAGCTAAAAACTTGCTACAAGCTAAAGAGCTGATGTTTGGCTACAAAATCTCGTTCCTACTTAAACGGAAGTCTTTTATATTTATTGAACATATTTATGTTGACTTTTGTAGAGGACTTTTAACCGATTAACTTTGAAATATTAAAAATTAATTGTTAACAATAATCAAAAGATTTTTTTAAAAAGTTTGTCTTTTGTTATTGTTTGATTTTTTTCTTGGTTTTTAATATTTTGTCTTCACACTATTTCCGCTGACGGCTGAGATTTAATATCTTATTGAATTATTGATGATATAATTGAACTACAGTTAATTACAACCCCAAAGTTAATTTTATAAATACAATGAGATATGGAGTTTACATTAATGAAACAGAAACTCGACACTGCTAAAAAAAATAAACACGATTTGTATTTTGTTGCCTGACATTTCAAAGTGATTTTTATAGAATATAAGATAGTCCTTACTTACACCAGTTGCAGCATTTTCTGCAAATTTTAACATTAAAAAAGTAAGAATGAGTCCAAAATGTATATACTTTATCTACCCAAAAGAATATACTGGTAGCCAGTGTTTGTGAACAAAGACCAGAAGTTTGCAATCATATCGTGAACAAGAAAAAAGATTCACGGTCACTAAGGTAAGTCGATTTATTATTAAAATATTATATATAGTCAAGCATCGCATACTTACAATTACCGTTTATGAGAAGGGTCTACTTTGATATATTCATAGTGTCCATCCAAGCAAGAGGTCAGGAATAAAACCTATTAGACAATTATCCACCATAGACCAGACTAGACAGTGTATACATGAACTCGTCACTATATGTGATCCAACAATGAGGAAAACCTTAAAGAGTAAGGAGATAAAAGACCTCTAACAAACCTCATCCAATGTTTCATATTGAAAATCAAAATGAGTACACATGCCCATTGAACAACAGGATCCTTCATTAGAGCAGGCACTGGCACGTAAAAATATGTGATCGCTTTACTCTCTCCCTATATTTGTTATGTAACAGGAAACGATTGCAACGTACAGACAATTAACTGAAATGAGAAGTTCGCTGTGATCATTTAATTTGTATTATCATGTCTCTGCTGTGACCTTCTAATCTATTAGTCGCCGTTTTACTAATTATTCCTTATTTTTTTACATCAAAAAATATTTCTTGATATAAAAAAAATTGAATTCCTGATATAAAAAAATGATTTTTTGATATAAGAAAATATTTTCAGATATCAAAAAATATTTCTTGATATCAGGAATTCGATTATTTGATATCAAAAATTCCCTTTTTTGATATCAAGAATTCGATTTCTTGATATCAGAAAATCATCTATATTTCTTGATATCAGAAAATCATCTATATTTCTTGATATCAGAAACTCGATTTTTTTATATCAAAAAATAGATTTTTTTATATAAAACAAGTGTGGACACAGATGAATGTGGATAGTATGTTTGGATGTTTGACAGTGTTTTATATGACAAAAGGAGTTCTATGTTTTTCCTATATGGTATTATTAACTGTGTTGCACAATGACAACCAACCTGAGCATGAGGAGTGTTGTTTATTTAATATTTAGATTTTATGTTCAAGAGGGCATGGAAGAGACACTAATTGCATTAATGACCAAATGATTATGATAGAATATTTTCCACATCTTTGATTTTGGATACATTTTGTAGCTAGGAGAGCAACACATAATAGGTTCATTTTTTCATGTGATTTTTTTTTTAAATGGGAGATGATATCTGAGAACATGATATCAGGAGGCTGTAATTCAGTGGTTGTCATTTGTCTATGTGTTACATAATATTTGTTTTTTGTTTATTTTGTGTACATAAATAACATAAATGACTATGCGTTATGGGCTTTGCTCATTGTTGAAGGCTGTACGGTGACCCGTAGTTGTTAATTTCTGTGTCATTTTGGTCTGTTGTGGAGAATTGTCTCATTGGCAATCATACCACATATTTTTTATATGTATTTGCTCACTATTTGTATGGTTCTATTTATATTACTTTGTGGTGGATTGTCAGCATCGTTAGTAAAATATTTTGTTAAAATGTCGAAATTGTTTCTCAGATTAGAAGACATTTATTGGTTTTTAGTAATGAAGATGCCTGACATGATGCTTGAGGCTAGATGAGCTAGAAAGTAAACTTCTGTGTTGTTTTTTTATCAATTCTTTGATAACATCTCCTCCAAAGCTGGCCGAAGCAAAAAAAAGTTTTGACCAATATGAAAACGATATCAACAAAAAAACCTTTGTGAGCATGCTTCAAAGACTCATAACTGCTCCAAAAGTAATCTGATAGAATTTCAAGCATGTCAAGTGGGTATTATGAAAATCTACTTACTATGTCTAAATATCAAAAAAGCTATAGTATTCAATATGAAAAAGGTATTGCAAAATTATTCTCTTTTCAATTTTTTTTGTTATATGCATGGATACAAATATAAGTGATACCAATACAGTATTTGTTGTGGTATGAAAGTGTAGTAATTAACATTTACTGTAACAATGTTAATTCACACAAATTAAGAAATAAACAAATGAATGAAAAATGTTGAACATGTACAATGAAATATAGTTTTCGAAATCAATTAGGCCAGATAGGCCTTATAAATTTTTTTTCTTTTTTTAACATACTGAATGACCATTTACACTCAAGACCGAGTCATCAGTAGGCAGTAAATTTGTTCTTTTTTTTAAATTTGGTTAATGGACAAAAAATGTTTGGTTCAAATCATAATAAAATGCTTTTATCTCCTTATTACTTACATTGCACATAGAATGGATACTACCCTGACAAATCCTTGTACATGAGAGTCTATCAAATCTTTATTTCACAAAGAATGAATTGCATAACAATGAACTGAGCTCAAAGCAAAGCACTTTAATAATACACTTAGACAAAGAGCTCAATCCAGTGATATACTTTGTACTACAGGTCCTTCATGAACATCCTATCCACCAATTTGGGAAAACCATATCTCACAAACATGCCATACTACATGGTTCGATCAGAAGTCCTGAAAAAGACATGAATTTTATTATCATATTTTAATTATATATACACAGGTTAAAAGTTATATACTCCAATGGCAGTCTTTCCTGCTAAAATGTCATGTGTAGAATGTGATATACCATATTTGGGTCTATATGGGTACTGCCCTTTATATTCATTAGGTCATTTTGACACAGCAAAATATATAGAAAATGTTAACTTTGATTTGGAAATTGAGTTCTTTTTCGCAAAATAAACCCACTAAAACTAACATTTGAATGCAAAAGACCCCTAAATGGCTAACAGATATTGCTATAAAGAATAGTCCATGATGATTATTGTTATTAAAGAGTTCATGAAATTTACACCGATTCTGTCAGTTGAATGGACTAGAATGAGATAAGTTATATAAACATAAAGGTTTTTTCAACAGTTGTGGTGTAAATTAAATCAGTTTTATTTTATGGTTGACATATTTAAGTATATATGTAGATCATTGGCTTTTCAACACATTGATATTTTACAATATCGATTATCTATTTATTGTTATATTGTTTGTATTTTTCACCTTCCTAAAACAGTTTTAACGCAACATGAACGCAAGCTTAATAGATCTTGATAGGGTGTCCTCACATATTTTGACGTTGCTGAAAAATTTTGGTTGACATATGTATCCTCTTCTCATCGTTTTTCGTGCCATTAAGAATGCATACTGTCGTCACAATTTCCATTGAAAAGGCATGCATAGTACAAATTCATATGACGTACGAAAACATATGATCTGACCATATACATGTACATGTATGTATAGGCTATCAGCTTTTCTACACATATTAGCCAGTAAGCCGCAATGAAACTATTATGGCGAGTGAGCGCAGCTAAAATAAATCAAATTGTGTCCTCAGTGGGGGATATTTTAAGGGATCTATATGAAGAAAACCTGATCAACTGTTTATCGTTCTATTACTGGCTTTTTCACCTCCCTAACTTGGCCTAAGACAGTTTTTACAGATGAAAGCAAGCTTGATAACTACTCCTCACACACATGTATAGATTATCGGCTTTTCTACACGAGTCATGAATATCGTAAAATGTTAGCCAGTGAGAAGGCCCGCAATGAACCTTTTTAGTGAGTGAGCCCAGCTAATGAGCTAAAATGAATCAAATTGTGTACTCAGTCACAGTTGGTGATATTTTAAGGTATCTACACAAAGAAAACCTGCTTATATAAATCTCAGTGGCAGATCCACAACTTTTCATAAAAGGGGGTGGCCGCTGACTGACCTAAGGGTTGCCCACTCCCATCATGCTTCCCCAGTGGCGGATCCGGGGGGAGGGTTCCGAGGGTTGGACCCCCCTTTTTTGGACGATCAATGCATTTGAATGGGGCACATAGTTGGAACACCCCAACACCCCCCCCCCCCCCCCCCCCCCCTTCCCCAACCCACCCTTTGTCCCGAGTTGGGAACCCCCCTTTTATAAAATGGCTGGATCCGTCCCTGCTTTCCTATAAAATCAACCAAATTTTCCCAACCCCCTGGATCCGTCTATGTAACTGTTTATCGTTCTGCGTAATACTAATAATCACTAATACTGGCTTTTTCACCTCCCTTACTTGGCCCTAGACAGTTGCTTTTCTGTTTATCGTTCTGTCACTGGCTTTTTGTAGACTATAAAGACTTCATGTGTACAAACCTGACGACAAACTCGTGTACTATAAAAGAAGAGACAAATAACTTCACATTAAATCCTGTAACATTACATCTAAAGATAATTATAATCCAAAATAAATTATATTACGATGTCAATGGACTAAATTCCCGCGCAAATGTCATCACTGGGATAGACCAAAACGAATTTTAGGTTTATGTATCATTCACATTCCGATCAATTTACTCAGTTAAATAAAATATATGTGTTAAATATTTTTCTATTGGTTTTGAATTTAGTTAATCTATCAGAAAAAAGGATTTATTTCTCGCAGATAGCCCTCAATACTATACACCAACTCGACACTGAAGTTAAAAAACCCTAAAACATAATAGTATATGGAATCGTCCAAACGGATTACCTAATATTGATATAGGTGAAATATGTAGATTCAGAATTGTGTACACAGAAATAAGATCAGAAATAAAGCCCTATGTAAGGTGAAAACAATAACACAACTGTATAAAATCATTGTTTATTAAATTTGCTTGCATAAGAACCATGAAGTTAAAATTTATAACGATTAGGTTTATCCTGTCAACCCCTTTTCTTCATTGCATCAAGGCTTCCGTTGCTTTACATCGAGCAGCAATTCAACCAATCGGGGAATGTTAAGTTGGGACATACCTCCATTTTTGGAAGCGTGATCTTTACATCGAGGCTTGCGTTGCTTTACACCGAGGCCACAGTAGTTCGACCAATCGGGGAATGTTTATTTGGGGCATGTGACCTATTGAACTGCAGGTTTTATAATATTTTAATCGAAATTGTAGAAAAATAAAATGTTGTTAGTACATACAAAACAGAAAATGATGAATACTTTTAGTAAAAGATAATTTGGATCCGGGTTCTGTGTATTCACATCATTTGTACAACTCTCCTTACTGATGCCATTTTTTGGAATTTCTGTGACCTAAATGGTTCGCGAAAATTAATATTTTATTATATATATAGTAATAATACTGATGATTTTTTTATAACAAGGAATCCGTTTTTTGATATCAGAAAATAAGAAAAAAAATAATGATGTGTCCCTGTGTGTCAACAAAATCATCCGAGCTCACCATGAGCCCTGTTTCGGTTGTGTTAAAGGAAAGCATATCTCAGAGTTCTGTAACATCCGTCATAAGAAATTTTATGTTTTTGTGTTTCTCATATTAATTATTTTTAGGTTAATAGTCAATAATTCTTGTAAGTTCCTGTTTCTTTCGAAAGCAATTATTGGTTTCCTCTGATCTGATTTTGGTAATCTTGTTTTTAGTGGGTTTTTTTCCCGTTGTTTGTGTGGCGGGTTTAGTAAGTTAGTGAGTTCTGTTTAATATAAAAATAAGGAGATGTGGTATGATTGCCAATGAGATAACTATCCACCAAAGTTCAAGTGAAGTAGATGTAAGCAATTATAGGCAACCGTACGGCTTTCACCCATACCGTATAGTCGACTATAAAAGGCCTCGACATGAAAAAATATTAAACAATTCAATTGAGAAAACTAACGGCCTAATTTATAACAAAACAATTTACGAAAAACAAATATGACAGACATGAACCAACGACAACCACTGAACTACAGGCTCCTGACTTGAGACAGGCACATAAAGAATGTGGTAGGGTTAAACATGTTTGAGCGCCCAACCCTAAAAAAGATAACCAAAAACACAGACTGGGCGTGACAGGGTATTTATACATCCATAACAACAACAAAAAGACACGAAGTACAGATGTGAGAGTACTCGACAGCTAGTTCAAAGCCAATACCAACTAATAAAAAATATTGCATGTGTTGTATTTTCAAATACTTCGTCTATTTCGTCTTTTAAGAGACGTTTTTTTAAAGCCTGCTACTATTTCTTATGTGCCGCGCCTTGCATAAATCCTTTTGTATAATACATTTATTTTATATGAGCTTTTTCTGTGAAGTATTGAAAAGTTTCAGTAGGTTTGATGTACGTTTTTATATTTAAAATACATTCATTTTGGAAGCATTTGTCTTTGTATTAAAACGAACATAACTTCATTTTGAGAAAATTGGTATGTAAAATTTAAGTGGTTATATAATTGTATTAGACATATATAAGGCGAAAAGATTGTGTATTACCGTCAGTTGAACCTAAATATATCATCCAGCCATCGTATCTAAATCTTGAACACATCAGTATTTTGTTTGGAAGACTGTCAAGCTTTGTAAAACATCTTCCAATATTTAGTAAATTCTTAGGTCGACTTATTCTATCGCTTGGGATTCTAGGTGTTCAACGCAAAAGTAAATATGTTATATTTTAGAATAATTTCTAAAAGCTTCAATATATTGTATTTTAGTGCATGGGACTCGAATTTCGTAATTAGTTGGATCGAAGTAATTCATTACTCGTTCAGTTTCGTCAAACTGAAGATAAGTGTACATGTTTTTTTGCTTCAAATGGGATTAAATAGCAGTTTTCTGGAGACTTTGACGTCTCAATACTGTTTATAAAACTTAAAGTGTCCTTGATATAATCATTTTATTTTTGTAATAAGGGACCCTTCACCCTTTAAAGCGGTACTTCACAATATAAAACAATTGGTCTACCGAGAACATGATTTGCATATATTTCCTTATGTTTGGGCTCATGGGTGAGCTTGGATGCTTTTATTGACTCACAGGGAGCCATCATTCATGAATTTCTTATTTTCTGATATCCTGCAACCTTTTTGAAACATTGGTTAAACCTATAGTAACATATAATAGTGAAATATGTCATATGGACACTTATGCTGCGTTCACACGCAATTCGAATTCGATTCGCATTAACTTATTCGAATTAGTTTAATTCGCATTCGAAACGTGTAACGTCCAAACGTAAATTCTAATTCGAATTGCAATGGGCGTCAAATTCGCTTTACTGTCCTAACGACGTTAACTTTTAATTTGTATTAACAAAAACGCATTTCTAATGCGAATTGGATAATGCGATTTAGCCAATTCGAATCAATTCGAATTAAAAAAGAAGAGTGTGTGAACGCGATTAGCGAATTCGATTCGCATTCGATTCGAATTCAATTCGAATTAAATGTACGTGTGAACGAGGCATAATATTCAATTTTATAGAGCTAAACAGCGAGCTAACAAAAATAACTTAACACTAGACGTCATTCATTTTATTGTTAAAACTATTTTACAAAAAACAGCTGCATTTTGTTAAACAAGCACTGGGAACAAAAAGAAGCTCAACAAATCTAGCTGTAAAAAATGAACTAGGACTTCTGCCATTAGAAACTATTATAAAAACCCAAACCATGATGTACCTATCTAGATTAAATAATGAAAATCTAAACCCACTTCTTAATGAAGCATTTAACCTAACTAAAAATTTAGATACTGAAGGAACATACTCTTTGTATACTTTTGCCAAAAATGTGTCAGAAGAAATAAATATTGACATCAAACTTATTGAAGAAACTAAAACTTTAAAACAGACTATAAAGTTAGGACCGCAATTAAAAAAAATGTTCTATTAACTATTATCAAACTCTTATTAATGATAAAATAAACAACTTGAATGAAAATAATAAAATATATCTATATAAATTCTTAAATCTAATATAATTACTAGTAACCAAAATGGAATACAACCTATCTCACCGAAACAATGAAACAAGAAAAATGTTCACCAAATTTAGAATGAGCGATCATTGTCTTTAAATAGAAACTGGAAGATATACAAAAATACCAAGAAATGGAAGAAAATGTAAAATTTGTAATATCTTAAATGATGAATTCCATTTTTTTCTTTAACTGTAAAATAAATAAAAATAATAGACAAATCTTTTTAAAATATTATATCGGGAAATATGTCAATTTCAATACACTAAACTTCACTGATAAACTCGCGATTATACTAAATCCACCAACACCCATTGATATAAAAGCAGTAGTTTCTTTTATTAAAGAGTCATTAGAACTGAGGAAAGTAGACAAATAACTGTTTTTAACATGTACATTACTATTGCTGAATTTTTCTTATGTTTTTTTTTGTGTCTGTATTGCTATGACCAAAATTGGTTTTTGTTTGTTTTGCAATAAAGCTAAAAAAAAAATTATAAAAAAATGATTTTTTGATATCAGGAATTCAAATTTTTGATATAAAAAAATAACGAATATTTTCTGATATAAAAAAATCGATTTCCTGATATCAAAAAATGAATTTTCGATATCAGAAAATATTCTTTATTTTTTTATATCAAGAAATCGATTTCCTGATATCAAAAAATAGATTTTTTGATATCAGAAAATCATTTTTTTATATCAGAAAATAAAAAATAAATAGTAAAACGGCGCCACATACTAATCTATTCAAATGAGCAGAAGACAAAAACAATAACATCCATAACACCAAAATTGACCTAATCTTAAACTTTCAATACACAACTCAAACACCAGCTGACAAGATATAAAGTGAACTTTAAAAGAATCTCAAATACTAAAATGGATTTACTATGACAGACATGTTAGAACCTGTTTGTTTAACTTTTACCCATTTACTTTGGCATTATATTTTGCATTATATATACCTGTAGCTTAACCTGATAACCATTACTAGTCAATCTAAATTCTGCCTTTTTCTTTCAGATTCATATCATGACCATGTGCTTGATTATAGTCTAAAAGTCTTATTCTCTCTTTAAAAAAATCAAAGACATTTCTTTGTATTTATAAAAATAAGTGAACTTATTTGAACTGGTTTCTTTATCTTTCAGTCAAGGCTTTCTACGTCTTACAATATACTATGAGGATTTAAATTATGAAGAAATGTATGAAACGCCTGAAATTGAGGTATGTTTAAAACGATTATGCTACTATGTGAAGTCAATTTGGTTTGCCATCTTATTTTTCATCTGGCTATCCGATTAGATATATTATTTGTTTCAAGACCTAAAATCGTAAAGCAGGCGGTTACAGACCAAGATCAGTCAGTATAAATATAAATTGTTTGACATAGCAAAAATGAGTTTAGGTGATTAAAATTACATACTTGGGAAAATCTGGATTGTTTACAGAGAACATACAATCCAACTATCTGCAGGTATTATTAAAAATATCGATCAAGTGATGGTCCGGTGGGTATTTTTTATGAAGCTTTACCGTGAATTGAAGTTTGTAACAGTAAAGGAACAAGTCTGCAATAAGACTTATGAGGGCACAGTTTGTACCCATCAGAACATTAATCACTTGTTGGTGTACTTTATCTCAAAATTGAGCATGACAATTATCAAATCATAAAAAATATATTTATATCGTTTTATGCCTATTTTGTAAGTTTTATTACTGAAAAGGGAATTGTTGTAACAACAACACCAGATAAAGTTACACCCAGATTTATCAATAGAAAAACTTCTCTTTAATATGATTGTGTGGCAGTGCAATATAAAGGATAAACAAAGCATAACTGTCAACGGAGGCATACTGACATTCAAAGGATCGTAGGTTATCCAAGACTTCCAAAGATTTATCACACTCCAGGAATAATAAATACCGCCCTGACATAGGTTTTGTACCAGTATTTCATAACGTATTCCTTGACAGCTGTAAGATCATAAGTAAGAAGATTTGAAACATGTGTAGTTAAAAATTTAATGGATTCAAATATAAACGAAATTTTATAATACTATGACCAGTTTCTCCAACAAGAGACATTCTTATTTACCCTGACATTTACATGTTTGGATTTGTTAGTGTTACTACAGGAAGCTAGTTACTGTGCATTTTATTTACAATCATATATAATAATAGCGTTTTTATCTTGGTATTGTTGTTATCATATGTATTACAGGTTCAACAGTTTACTTCAGATGCAGATGGAGCCATTGGTCTTGGTTATTATTATTATCTTATGTATTACAGGGTCAACAGTTTACTTCAGATGTAGATGGAGCCATTGGTCTTGGTTATTATTATTATCTTATGTATTACAGGGTCAACAGTTTACTTCAGATGTAGATGGAGCCATTGGTCTTGGTTATTATTATTATCTTATGTATTACAGGTTCAACAGTTTGCTTCAGATGTAGGTGGAGCCATTGGTATTTGGTTATTATTATTATCTTATGTATTACAGGGTCAACAGTTTACTTCAGATGTAGGTGGAGCCATTGGTCTTGGTTATTATTATTATCTTATGTATTACAGGGTCAACAGTTTACTTCAGATGTAGGTGGAGCCATTGGTCTTGGTTATTATCATTATCTTATGTGTTACAGGGTCAACAGTTTACTTCAGATGTAGATGGAGCCATTGGTCTTGGTTATTATCATTATCTTATGTATTACAGGGTCAACAGTTTACTTCAGATGTAGATGGAGCCATTGGTCTTGGTTATTATCATTATCTTATGTATTACAGGGTCAACAGTTTGCTTCAGATGTAGATGGAGCCATTGGTCTTGGTTATTATCATTATCTTATGTATTACAGGGTCAACAGTTTACTTCAGATGTAGATGGAGCCATTGGTCTTGGTTATTATTATTATCTTATGTATTACAGGGTCAACAGTTTACTTCAGATGTAGATGGAGCCATTGGTCTTGGTTATTATTATTATTATCTTATGTATTACAGATTCAACAGTTTGCTTCAGATGTAGGTGAAGCCATTGGTATTTGGTTATTATTATTATCTTATGTATTACAGGTTCAACAGTTTGCTTCAGATGTAGGTGGAGCCATTGGTCTTTGGATAGGTTTGTCTATTCTCAGTGTGTTTGAACTCGTACAACTGGCAATGGAACTATGTGTTGTTGGCAAGAGAAAATTATCTTGATTTCAGAAAAGTCTCAGAATATCATCAATTTAAACAATGCTTTCTGCTGTACTGTCTAAATCTTATTTGTTAACATAACTAGGGTATGGTCTAGTACCCAAATTGTCAAATGTATTGTTATGAGTTACAATTTATGACTAAAATCAGCAAAGACCCATCGAAACAACATCTGATACAAAAATTTAATAACACTATTAGATATTTGGATGATATATTGGCTCTCAATAATGACGACTTCAGTATGTACACTAAAGAGATTTATCCTGTTGAACTAACTTTAAATAAAGCTAATACTAACAATGAACACTGCCCTTTCCTGGATCTTGATATATATGTATATCTTTAACGGGAAGCTTAATACAAAAACTTACGATACAAGAGATGATTTTTCAATTCCTATTGTTAATTATCCATTTTTAGATGGTGACGTTCTCTTGTCACCATCTTATGATGTTTATATATCTCAGCGTGTTCGATTCGCTCGTGTTTGTAACACCGTATTTGATTTTAACGAAAGAAATCTCTGTATTACTGAACAAATTTTACACCAGGGTTTTCGATATCACAAACTAGTCAAAACATTTACTAAATTTTATCATCGGTACAAGGACATCATTCGTAAATATAAATCAACATGCAGACATCTTATACGTTCAGGTATTTCACATCCAATCTTTTATGGTAATATTCTGTACAAAGTACAACAATGTCGTCATTCACTTCAAAAGATAACCAAACCTTTAAACAGACTTATTCAGAAGGGATATAGTTATGATACTGTTATCAGGTCATTGAAGATGGCATATTTTGGAATTAATATTGATTCATTCATAGGGTCTTTACATCGGAAATAAACACATTTATTCTAAAACCAGTTGTTGGCATGATACGGTTATGGTCTTCTTATATATTTTATGATGGTATGATACTAAACCCCTAACAGGAAGGATTGTGCTTGATTTCATATGATGAAGACATAATCTTTTAATCAGTTTAATTGAGGTCTGGAGCTGGCATGTCTGTAACTGCTAGTAGTCCTTTGTTAATTTATGTATCATTGTCATTTTGCTTAGTTTCTTCTGTTACCTATTCTGACATCGGACTCGGACTTCTTTTAAACTGAGTTTTACTGTGCGTATTGCTGTGTGTTTGTTTATTCTACATTGGCTAGAGGTATAGGGGGAGGGTTGAGATCGCACAAAACATGTTTAAACCCGCCGCATTTTTGCGCCTGTCCCAAGTCAGGAGCCTCTGGCCCTTTGTTAATCTTGTATGTTTTTTAACTTTAGTTCATTTATATGTTTCGGAGTTTAGTGTGACGTTCATTTTCACTGAACTAGTTGGGTCCAGCTGAAGCCCGCCTCCGGGTGTGGGATTTCTCGCTGTGTTGAAGACCCATTGGTGGCCTTGGGCTGTTTTATGCTCTGTAGTCGGGTTGTTGTCTCTTTGACACATTCCCCATTTCCATTCTCAATTTTGTTCTATGAAGCAATAGATATCCTGGTTTCATGTATAAAGAATAAGTAGCATATCGAGGAGGCAATAACATCCTAGCGTCTGATAAGGCAACATCTTGGCTAAACGAATAAAGACAGAAAAAACAAACAGCTTTCCTCAATACACTACACAAACAATAATGGTTTTACTATAAGTATCGAATAAAATTAACATTATCAAAGATCAATGAAAAAGAGGTAAAGGTCAGATAAACCTTGTCAGACAGACATGGCACCTTACAATCATACCATACACAAACTATAGTTAACCTATTGCTTATGGTATCCGACAAACAGATCTAATTACGAAATTTGTGACCAATGAATCATGGTCAGATGAACCATGAAAGACAACATGTACACCACTATATCACCCATACACCAAATATAGTTGACCTATTGCTTACAGTATATAACCATAATAAACTGTTAACACAGAGATATGTCTCGCCTATTCGTTATTTTGATAATGCAAATGTTGAAATAAAAATAGCAATACTTTAACATGCAAGTAAATATTCAATATCAATAAACCATGACTGAAGGTACAGGGTTAAACAATCTCCGTGGAAATGAGATGTGCTAATGCTAATACAACTGCATACCAAATACCATTGACTTTTCATAAGTCGTTCCCTTTAAACAAACCTAAACACAAACATTTAACTTGTAAACTATGTGAAAGTTTCAAAGTCAATGAACCATAATGAGGGGCCAAATAATCTCCATGGAAATGAGATATGCCAATGCTTATACAACTGCATACCAAATATCATTGACCTACCACTGTTTTTCTTTGTTGACATATTTGTGGTTTTTATAGTGATTAAGTTTATAACAATGTTGACTGCTGTATCCCTATTTTTGACATTTTTACCTATTATGTCTGTTTGTTTTGTTCACATATAGTTGTCAATATAATCAATACTATACAAATCCTTGATATAATGGAATTTTATTCGACTGTCATACAAGTGAGAGGTTCAGCTAGCTATTAAACCAGGTAGGGTGAACCCTGTCTGACGGACATGTAAACCTTGCAAGGAACCCATATACCAAATATAGTTATCCTACTATTCATAATAAGTGAGAAATTCACCTGACAAAAAATGCCTAAATTTTTTTTCAAGCAGTCGGTGAACTATGAAAATAAAGTCAATGGCAATTAACATATTACAGATGGAAACCTCGTAACATAAGGTATGAAACATCCAGGTATTCCTCCTGAAATATAAGCTTTAAACAAATAGTCGGATAGTAATCCCTTGGCATCACTTTCTGCGACTTTCGTTGCAGACAAGACAAAATCTAATTAACTGTTGACACTGAGATATGTCTTGCCTGTTTGCAGAAAATTTAGACTTAAGAAAAAAATCTGATGGAGAGCAATACTGCTAATTGATTCAAAGTAGCTGGACCATGACATAGAGTACAGGGCCTCAAAATGGTTGACAAACTGAGATGAACTGACAGTTATGCAACTTACACATTTGTTGTTGTTGACACCGCCAATGCTGGAAAAACACATTCAGCGACTTTCAACACAGGCGAGACAAAAATTGTGCATTACAAACCTAACCAAGATTTGTTTCTGCTCTATTATTAGCAAACGTCAAGTTGTTCATGACAAGCAAAATTCTGATGATTGTATTTAAAAAAAGTCAAAATTTTGTGATGTTAATTTGAGAATAATACATGGTGAAATTGATATCACATGCTATATCAACCCAAGTTACCAATATCAGCAAAATAAGCAAAAATATTATAATACAAACATGTGAATAATTAAAGGTCACTATATGGCCTTCAATTAGCAAATCCTAAACCGTATAGTAATCTAAAAAAGGCAAAAATGTTAAAATGTGAAACAATTTAAAAGAGAAAATAACAACAACAAATATGACAGACTGCAACCAACAACATCAGAATTACAGGCTCTTGACTTGTGGACAGGTAAATAATTAATGTTGCAGGATTAAACAAGTTTGTGACCACTCAACCTTCCACTCACATTGGACAGAGGTGTAACAGCACAATGAAAGAACAAAATAATTTATATCAAATATATCTTAAAGACTTAGTGGAAATGGACCACTAAAAATCAAGTAAATCAGAACAAACATATAGTAATTATTTTCCTTTTATTAAAACATGAACAATACAATTATATGTGCTGTATTAAAAAAAACCTGCAACATTGCCAAATGGGCAGCTTCCCCAATGAATTCTGATAACAATTACATTGTCATAACATCTAGATGATACAACAGAAAAGGATTAAGTTTCATAAGACCTAATAATGGTAAATTATGGCAAAATTTAATAATGCTAGATTTTCTAAGCTTGTCAGTGAATGCAAGGCATAGTTTACTGTGAATACATTTAATATTTCCGAAGAAAACATCTTGTAAAGATTTTTGTTAGGGTAAGCATATCAGATGGCATCAAAGCAAAGGGTAGCAAAGACAGAATTCTAGATGACTGCTGTCAAAGCAAACTATAGTATGATCAAAACCACCTGCTGACAAGCTTTGGTCTGTTTTCAATTCAGCATGTATGTAAAGATGCTACCTTCTATGTAAACTATTTCAGTTAGGTTTGCAATTTCACACATATCTATTGATGCAACATAAATATAAACGAGTGATACAGTCTACAGATGTATAATTAGTGCAATTAAATTGAGAATACAATAAATTAGTTTATCTACTCGTATCACCAGGATTTAGTGAAAATATGTATAACAAATTATAAATAAAAATGTGGCAAGTTTGACAATATTAATCTCATTCGAAAATAATAACTATAGTATGTCACTGCATATTAAATAAGAAAGAACGCATATAAACTTTCACAATCTTGCTTTAAATACTTGATCCTTAAGCAGATGGGCCTTTCTGTTATATGGTGGTAACCAACCACCTGTATATATAAATCAAAGGAAATTATAAAAATAAAGAATGTAAAATAAATAAAGGTAGCATAATAAAAATGTTTTGTTATACATTGTACTGCTTTCAACTTACTTTCGAAAATAATTTTTTTTTATTTCTAGATGATTTAAACATATGAGGCGTCATTATAAAAACATGTTAAGTTTTTATAATGCAAAAAGTGGAAAGACTTGATTTTCCCTTACTAAGTGAAACTATGATATTTTCATGAAATTTTTTGTTCAACATTATATTCACATTATTTATGCAAATTGAACCACAAGAGGCAACAACAGGGTGGCTGATATTTTAAAGCTATTGAAAGCAGTTGAAAGTGAAAGTGCAAAGCAAAGCAAAAATATCAAGTGTCATTTGCAGAAAAACTGGCCCTTTTATTATATGTATATGAAAGTTTCGCTTATTTACAGAATAAAAAATTCTTTTTAAAAATCTTCTTGCAAAAAGTACATTTAGTGACTATTGGTAAGTTTTTTCAGACTCCTTTGCTTTCTAATAATTTGTACTGCTGAAATCCAGCAAATCTCCTTTTTGACGAACAACCATCACTCCACAACTTAAATTTGCAATTTCTAAAAGCCTTTTCTTTCAACATCTAAATTCAGAAATAAAAAACGGTACCATACTTTTTTTTCCCCATTTCTGATCAATTTATATATATATATAGTAAAATAAGCAACAAGAGAGACCTTCACCTTTATTGTTTCATCTGTCCACTTAGGTTTATGTGAGTATTCAAAGTATGACATAAACTAACTCTTACCTTTTTGGGGCAAGAGGAGCTAAAATTTATAACTGTTGTATTGAACTACCTTTAAACAGAATTAGTAAATGACTATGTTTTTTAAAATCAAACTTTTTGAATTACTTTTACGTTCAATAATAGTATCTGGTTGACAAGTCCTGGGATGTAAAATTAGTGTCATTGTTTTTTGATCCCCTGAGATTGTCTTGTCTGGTTGGTGGTATATAGTAACATTATTGTCTTTGATTTGTGGTCCCCTGAGTTTGACCCATTGAGTCTGGTTGGTAGTACTTGAACAACATTATTGTCTTTGTTTTGTGGTCCCCTGAATTTGACCCTTTGAGTCTGGTTGGTTATACTTGAACAACATTATTGTCTTTGTTTTGTGGTCCCCTGAGTTTGACCCATTGAGTCTGGTTGGTAGTACTTGAACAACATAATTGTCTTTGTTTTGTGGTCCCCTGAGTTTGACCCATTGAGTCTGGTTGGTAGTACTTGAACAACATTATTGTCTTTGTTTTGTGGTCCCCTGAGTTTGACCCTTGAGTCTGGTTGGTTATACTTGAACAACATTATTGTCTTTGTTTTGTGGTCCCCTGAGTTTGACCCTTTGAGTCTGGTTGGTAGTACTTGAACAACATTATTGTCTTTGTTTTGTGTTCCAATGAGATTGACTTATTGAGTCTGATTAGTGGTACTGGAATGTTTAATTTTGGTATCTGCTTGGTGGTCTTTGGAATGCTAAATTGTTGATTCTGCTTAATGGTCTTTGGATGTTAAGTTATTGAATCTGTTATAGTATCCTAGAATGTTAGTTTCTTGTGCATGTTATATTTATACAATAGAAATATTAATCAATATCCAAATAAAAAGGTGTTATCCTAGTACAGCACAATCTGTTAGATATAATTTACAAATGTACTTACATGTATACACAAGTCAAACTAACATAATACATGTAAAGTTAAATGCATGACATGGTATGACAGAACAATGTCAAACATGTATATTGTTTGGACTTGTCAAATTAGTTTTCTTTGAAAATTTATTGTATTATAGGGTTCCTGTCTTCAAAACCAATGAAATTCAATTAATGCTGTAATAACTATGATTAGTGTTTTTTTAGATCTGTACTTTACATTTCAAAAATATCATCTTAATAACTCATGCAAATATAAGAAAGTTTTTAAAATGTATAAAAATTAAAAAAGAAGAAATTGAGTATAAATGGATTCAATACAATATTACTGGATTTCATTTCAAAATAAAAAGTATGTAAAAAACTCAATAAAAAAAAAGTCATAATTGGTAATGCTTCACTCACCTACAAAAATAGGAAAATACAAAAAAGCCATTAATTTGTAATAATAAGAATGAGGTGATGAAATTATTGTTAAATAAGCAAAGAAAAGTGTTAAATAAGGCACTTAATGACCAAATTACCAAAACAAGTCATAATGCAAAGAAAGTATTGGACAAAAACAATTATGTATAACATATATCACAGATTGTCATAAAAATATATAAATCTCAAGAGATTCTATTATGGCAGGTAGTTCTATTGTATACCCATGCAACAACACAATAAAGCGTAATACAAACATGTTCTATTTCAAATGGAAATATAACAACATCAACAAATCTTCATATCTTTTAACTTTCAGGATTTTTTTACTGGACTTTGTTTAATCCATTAATGGAATAGGAAAATTCTTATTACACTCAAACATTAGGTATTCAAATTGAAGCAAGAAATTTTCTGCATGAATTAATATGGTTCAGGTAAATGCAAAGCTTTTAAATTCCAGGTACAGTTATTAAAATGTTCTACTGACATACAACAGAAATCCTTCTTCCTTGCACATAGATTATATTCAATTGGCATACAAAGGTTTTTTTGTGAACATTTATAATATTCTAGTGCTATATTTTGTTATCTTCCCATAGTGTTGTGCTTCCTTTGAAATATAATGTTTATATCAAAACTTCACCTTTGTAGATTAATATTTCAAACAACTCTTTGTGTAAAAAATTTAATATGTTTTCTGAGTATAAAAATATTTGTTATTGTGGAAATCTCTGATTTCTATAAAGCTCATACTGCAATAGTTTTAGATCAGAAGGGTGTTGTTTCCTGAACAAGAGTTTTTAATGGTATCTGGGACAATTTACAAAATATCACAATTAAGAAATGAAAAAATATATTATTATGCAATTAAACTCTATAGCTTTTTAATACTTTGCTATTCATTATGATTTTTCAGTCATAAAAGAGATTGCATCATGAGAAAGGTTGACATATTATGCATCTAATCTCAATGGTATATTATTAACAAAATTAAATTGTAAATGGTGTAGTTGACATTGAAATTGTAGATATTTGAGATACACAATTCCTAAATCTTTGTTAGAGACACAAATTTACAAAGCCGCATATTTTCAATTTTAGGGCAGAGTTATTCAAATATTTTTTATGTCTCAAATGATAAAATTTAGCATTGAATGCAAACTATTTAACTTTGCCAATTTACTCTCAATTTTAGAATTTTTTTCTCTAATAATTCAAACAATTCTAAAAGATTCAATAATTTAACATTTATTAACAATTTAATATTAATTTTCTCTTTTTTAGTTGGACACAAATATAAATCAACATATAACAAAATATAAGAATTAAAACAAAACAAAACAATAAATAAATTACTACTACTACAAAAAATATATTCTAATTCTGATATTCCATGCATAAAAATATGCCAAATAAATAAGCTCAAACAACTAGTATATGTTGCAATCACATGAACAGAATGATTATCAATTACTTCAAGAGAGGTATAAGTTTCGACAAAATGTTAAGCATCCATAATCTGCTATCAATAGACAACACAGACCTTTTTGATATGTATAAATAGATTCTTTTCACATCAACCCATGACAAAAATATTATCATTATGCAAAAACTAGGAATTTGCTGGCACAACATAAATGGCAAGCCTGAAATGTTTTAATTTTTACTGACCATAAAATGACGTTCAAATTAGCTTTTTCTTCTTGATCACGACAACCATATCTAATGAGATTCTACAGTGATACAGATCACAGCAACCACATCAAATGAGACTCTGCAGTGATACAGATCACAGCAACCATATCTAATGAAATTCTACAGTGATATAGGTCACAGCAACCATATATAATGAGATTCTACAGTGATATAGGTCACAGCAACCATATCTAATGAGATTCTACAGTGATATTGGTCACCACAACCATATCTAATGAGATTCTGCAGTGATATAGGTCACCGCAACCATATCTAATGAGATTCTACAGTGATATTGGTCACCACAACCACATCAAATGAGACTCTGCAGTGATACAGATCACAGCAACCATATCTCATGAAATTCTACAGTGATATAGGTCACAGCAACCATATATAATGAGATTCTACAGTGATATAGGTCACAGCAACCATATCTAATGAGATTCTACAGTGATATAGGTCACAGCAACCATATCTAATGAGATTCTGCAGTGATAATGCTGATAATGTATCTATTGAGACTAATAGTAGTCAAATCTGTTTTAGTCCAATTCCAAAAATCCATGATATTCATCTTTTTTCTGGTGAAACTCTGTTGCTATATTTTCTTGTCATAGGTGGTGTGTAGTCAGGTGGAGGTATATAAACTTTATCTTTTGTATCGTTGTCATAATCAGGGGGTGGAAACTGAAATATATGAAAAATGAATACCATCATCCATACAATTCTAAATTATATGACATAATTAAAAATCATCTGTGAAAGTTCCTTTCTACATGTATTTGAATGCTGAGGAAAGTATTTATCATTCGAAATAATAAAGAAAATTTACAATCAATTTCATTCCCAAGCATGCATTTCTGGAAATTTATTTGCATCAGGTGATAGATTATTTCTGTTGATTACTTTCCCTTCAATTTTATTTAATTGTTTAATCTAAAATTACATACAATAACTAAAAAGTTCTGAAGCTGGTTCATAATTTTGCTAAACTTCAAGCAAAGATTAATACTGTAAACAAGAATATCCTTACAGTAATACATCTGTAATAGTACTTTATACTTGAGCTTTGTATACATTTATTACATGATTAATATCAATTAATTATTTTTGCAATCTGAAAACAGTAATTGTAAGCAAATCTGATAAGAGAAACGATAGTCTTTACAAAAAGCAGAGTTATTTAGTCCTTCAAGCATATAATACAGAGTTAACTGTAGAAATAAACTGTATTAGATTTACACATTAATAGAATAGCCCTTAATAGAAACATGAATCGTAATATTATATAAAACTTGGAAGTAAACTATTTCTGAGCAGTATTTTTTTTATATTAACAATGGCTCAATGATAAGCAGTTTTAAATTCCTATCAATTGACTTACAATATTTGTTCAAATAACTTTCAGGATTACTTAAACACACCCACAACATCGCAGGTCTGTGACTGAATTAAAGTACCTATGCTTTATTTTTAGCCTGAATTTTTAGTATTATATATTGTCATCTGATAAATTCATGCTGAATGTAAGGTGCACAGTTTTCTCTGCTTCCAAATCTTTCTGTTTGAACCCGTCCTGGTTTTCTTACTTCAATAAACTTACTCAAGGATTTGTATACTATAAACTAAATTTAACTTTTTTAACTTATTACCCAGTGGTATTGAGGTGGAAGAAAACAGACTTGTTAAATAGTGTACTATAGTGTAACATTGATATAAACAGATCCGTGACTGAATTAAAGTACCTATGTCTTATTTTTACCCCGGATTTTTAGTATTCATATTGTCATCTGATAAAGAGTCTTATAATGCAAGTTTTCTCTGCTTTCAAAATCTTTCTGTTTGAACCCGTCCTGGTTTTCTTACCACAATAAACTTACTATAAACTAGATTAAATTTTTTTTAACTAATTAACCAAAATTAAAAGTGGTATTGAGGTGGAAGAAAACAGACTTGTTAAATTGTGTACTATAGTGTAACAAACACATGTAGATATATTATATCTTCTCCCCAGGCGATATCATATAAAACAACTACTGGAAGAATTAGAGGTTCTCCTGATAGAGGAGGGATTTACAGAAGGTAACAGGTAACTACAACCGGAAACTATATGTGACATATACTATTGGTATTGGTATCAGATTCGACCCGGAACTTGTTAAATTGGTATTACTAATTATGTGGAAAACAAAAGGGCCTGGAATGGTGTAATTTTTAAACAACACCATAGTCCTTTATTAGTTATATATAAAGTTGAATTCTTTGATTCAACTTTTTTATGTCATGCCAGCTAACAAATTGGACCTCGTTATTTTAGTAGTATAGATATACTGTAAATTCAGAAATTATTGCGTGCATTTATTATTGCGATTTTGTCATTTTAAACTTAAATGCGATTTTGATTTTTACGATTTTGAGAAAAATCCTGTTTAAGGTGGTACCCAACACCTTGACTAACATTAATTTGGCTCGTTTAATTTTCATAAAATTTTGACAAAATGTTTACTTTGACCCTTTGACAAAAATATAAAAATTTCAAAAAATTTGAACCAACCACTTTATCAGAAAAATTTCTTTGGTTATATAGCAGTTTGACAAACACTAATTTTGATCATTGAGAAGCTTAATATTTCCTTAACAATACAACGTAATTAAAATGTTTAGCTGATTTTTACAGAGTTATCTCCCTGTAGTGTTAGGTACCACCTTAATTCATATAAAATATTTCAAAATGCGAGTTTAAATTATTGCGTTTACAACTCTGTCGCATTTGTCGCAATAATAAAAACCTCGCAATAATTTCTATTAACTATTGCATTTCTCAACTCTTTCTAAAATGTTCTTACAAAGGAAGGTATGAAATTTCACATAGTTCATGCCAATAAACCATTGATTCAAGTTCACTTTTTCTGTGACTTCTGGCATGAACTGGCAGTTTAAAAAAAAAAAATTACTTTCAAGTCCTCAAACAAATGACGGAAATCATGTGAAAATATTATTCTGTTTTATATTTTGCAATGTTGATTATGATGGACCCAATATAAAAAACAATTTAGGTATTTAGTATTTATTTCACAAAGAAGAAACAGATAATAGGAGTGCATAATTATATGCATGTTCATTAATTTAAATAAATAGAAACGTGGTTCCATCAACAACCTCTTTATAAAGGGCACCTGTATATTAAGGGCATTTACCTGCTATCACCTGAGTGCCCATTATAGACAGGTTTGACTGTATAAGAAAATAAAGTCTGTTTAGTTCTGCACAGCAGCAAATATGTACTACATCATAAAAGGGAAATAAATGTCATCAAACTTAAGTTTGTCTGCTTAAAAAAGTTTCTAGAAAGGGCCAAAATTATATACTTTGAAATATAACAAATCTTATTCTTTGAAACATATATATATTTACTACACAAAACAAAATCTTCACAAACAAATTCCAACAATCATGACAATAGAAATGAAAGATCAAAAACAACATTATTAACCAGGCATGCAATGATTATTGTTATATGAAAAAGCTGATATGAAATTCTAACAATGACTTGCATACTTTAATAAAAGATCAAAAATTATGAACCGGGCATGCAATGATTATTGTTATATGAAAAAGCTGATATGAAATTCTAACAATGACTTGCACACTTTAATAAACAACTTTCCCATTGTGTCTACAAAAAGATGAAAACCAAAATAAATTCAGTCTTGTCTTCTACAAAATCAATAGTGTCTGGGAAAGATCGTGAATCCAACCACTATCACCCTTACCGGTATACTAACTTCCAGAAAAAAAGACATTGTCAGAATTAAACATTTATAACAAACTTGCCTAGCTGCTAATACTCATAATGTTGTAGATTCCTAAAATCATTAAAGCATGCTTAAAACATACAAACTGCATAACAATATTATTACTCAGAATTCACATATACTTACTTATCTTTACAAAGTAGGGGCCTGAAATTATTTATATTATAAAATACTATGAATGTAGTCCTATAATGGAAGTGAAATACTTCTTTTTTCAATTTTCAAGCCATTCTTTATATATTTTGATAATGATGAATTCCAAATGTGAGTCATATAAAACATATCCTTCATAACATAACAGAATTCATAAACAAATTGATACTTTTAATTGTATCAAGGTTTCTTTTTTTTTTAAGAGACCAATGTAGGTCTATCTCAACTACTGACTGACTTATAATAATTAGTCAATATAAAATTTGAAACTGTTACAAATTAAAGGTCAGGTATATATTTTGATTTTGTAAAGAAATTTGACCTACTGTATAAGCATTAACTGAGAAACTAATTTGGACCTCCTGAGCATGAAAATGAGTTTAAGAAAATATGACACCTGTCAAATGGACATATAGACCTTATAATACTAAACACATTGTACCATATATCATTGCTCTGTAATATATAGTTACTAAACATAACTAATATGTTTTTTACCCTGACCACTAAAGCAAGAAGATGAATTAAAGGTCCATTGAAAATTATTGACTGATAAGTTCCACAAAAAGCTACCTCAAAACAGAACTTGTTAATGCAATACTTATGTCTAGTATTAGAGATATTTTCCAGCTTGACACAAAAATCTACCTGAAACCCATGCATGTCCTTTTTTAAAGGTAATATCTCAACCAAGTTTATTTAATCCTATATCTTATATACAGATATCCCAGACGCATCTTACACCAACATTAGTATAGCATGCAAAGAAGGTAATTATACTCATGACCTGATTTTACTTTCGGTTAAAGTGAATCAACCAACAACCTTGGGTGATCCCACAGCTTGTGATATCAACTTTCTTGTCAACTTGAACAGTATTAAATAAAGCATTAAAGGTGCAAATTCAAACCTATCTATATATCAAACTTGTATACTAATTTCAAGTTCCAAAAATGTAACTTTCCATAATATGGGTTTAAACATGGGCTCAGTAGATAAAAACAATATCATATGATATAATCCTCATAAATCATAACTAATTCAGTTTACTAGTGACTGATTAGCTATAAAAATTGTTTCAACATAAAATAAGATATTCCTTTTTTGTGTATGTGTGTGTGTCTATATAGCCTAGGATTAATAACTACATGAAATTTTTGTAATGTCATTAATCTTGTTAAGATGACTGTAATGGAATATCATTATGATTTCTACAAGCACTATAATAATGCTAATGTGGATTAATAGTAAATAATTCAAAACTAGAAATATGGTGACCTGTGTGTGCAATTTAAATAAACAAATTATGTTTATTTTCATAATTAGCCCATTATTCAAACCACTGATTTAAAAAACAAGTTTCCCCAAAAATAAATTATGTAAGAATGCTTAATATTTTTTCCACATTTTCTAATTTTCCAGAACCAATGTTATCTGCTTTACTAGAATTGTTACTTATATTTGCACAGAATTTTATACAATGAAACCCTCTTAAAACCACAATGTAATTGTTGATGTGTTCCTTCACAGCAAAAGGAATTTAAGAAGAACCGATTTCAAGTTTTGAATTAAGCTTTGTAGAAACCTCTGAACACATATTGAAGATACATTAATTTCAACAGCTGGCAAACCATCTTTAGCTATAAACCCTTCCCTTAATTAACAAGGATGGAAAAATCACCATACAGAAATGTAAGATTGCATAGAATGACTGAAAACATGACCATTGACTCCCTAGTGATGAAAATTAATATTTAGATTACCTGTTTTTCCATGGCATAATTATCTACACCATTCTCCTCATCTTTTTCTTTTTGATCATGCTGATATCGTCTGTCAGCTGACAAGTAGGCAGCAGGGCCAATCATACTCAATAACACAGGTAAATAGACTAATCCATGGAACAAGCCAAATATCACAACTAAAAATAGCACCTGAAAAAAGAGCAACTGATGTAATAATTAAATAATCAAAACTGTTACGATAAAATATTATACAGACCATACAGAAAAATATAAAGACCACATTCAGCAAGAGAATATGTTTTCTTTTTATAAATATCCATTTATAACTTAGTAAGCATGTATCAATTGTGTTTTTTTGTGTGTTTTCTTAAATAGATCTTTGATAGCTTTTGTTTAATTTATTCATAACTTTGGAGGACTGAGATCTTGATATATTATAGGAACACCTGTCTTTTCTTTATGAGTAAATGTTTGTGGCCTCAAGATGTTTTTAGCTTATTAAGTTGTTGTCTCATAGATGTATAGCTCTCTTTTTCATATGGCCTGATGGTAACTTTTTAGACTAAATATAGTTTACCTTAAAGAATGTAGTAAAAACATAGCTTTTGCTGACTGCCAACAAAACAAAGGCAAGGAATGTACTGAAACCACCACTGATAACTGGTCCTCCTATTTCTACTAATGTAGCTTTTACTCTCTCTACAAAATAATACAACAGAATAAAAACAGAAGTTTGATGGACTATAATATAACTGCAAGTACATATATATATATGTGAAAGTGAACATCACAAAGTTCTAAAATAATCACCTGATCAGTGGAGCAGTGAGGAATGAAATTTAACTTAAGATTCATGAAAGCATGATTAAAGAGTTACACTTCATAATCTTCTAGAGAATGAAAACTTTATCTACCTTTAACTGATATACCCGATAGGAGTAACTAACAATTATAAAGTTGAACATATTCATAGAAAGTGTTGTTAGTCAATCAACTCAAGTCAAATGGAATTTTTTTTTCTTCTGTCAAAATTTAACTCGTCAGTTATACCCTAAAAGGAGTTTAAGATTCCCAATTTTTCCATTAATTACTGTAAATTCAGAAGTTTTTGTGTTCATTTATTATTACAATTTTGTAATAGTAGACAAAAATGCAAGATTGGTTATTTCGATTTCAGGAATTGTTGCATACAAATAATGCTATGAAAATTCTTAAATGTAAGTTTTTATTCTAGCAAAAACCAAACTGATATTTTTGAAATAATAAAACATCTCTATTTGATAATTTTTTGTCTTAAATGTACATACCATTTCTGCCTCCTTGAAATGTCATAAAACAATGACCTATATGTGCTGAATAATCAACAGCTAAACCAATGGCAAGGATCAATTGTACACATGTGACAACATCTATAGTCAGACCCCAGAAATGCATAAAACCTCCAACATTAACCTAAAACAGATAATCAATTGGTCAACAGCTAATTCAATTGATAAGATGTGCAGTACAAACCTAAATGAACTTTTAAAAAGAAGTTTCAACCCTGTTATTTGAAGAAAACATGAAATTTAGATAAATTGTATACCATTTTAATAGTCATATAAACATTATTGTGAATTCATTTTGAATCCTAGTTTTATACCAATTTTTGTGTAGATTTCCTTAGAACATGGAACATATGAATCAAAATCACTCAATAAAATACAAATTTTCAATTGTTTTGATAGCAAACTACAATACCTTGCAATTATCAACATTTTGTTTAAACACAATAATTGGTTTCTATGAAATAAAGATATTTCATAATAAATCATATTTTACATAAACCAAGTTATATTAATTCATTTCATTTGTATAAAGGCCAATCTGTGTAGAACAAAAAGGCCAAATCTGGCAGGTACACTTTATTCTAAAATCTAAGAGTTTTTACAATTTATTAGTGTTAAGAGTTTTTACAATTTATTATGTTACATTAAAGGATTGTAGATTTTAATTGTGATACCATAAACTGTTTGAAATTACTGTGATAAAAATAAAGTAGAAATTCTGAAATAAACTTACAAAAGTTAATGCAACACAGGAAAATACCATCAAACTAGTCCATATGTTGGCTATGAGAACCAGACAGATGATAAATACACAAACTGCAGCCAGAGCAATGTTACGGTACAATTCCTGTCGGATAACCTGTAAAGACAATAAAAAATTAACACATACAGATGTTCAAAATACTAATACAACCTTTTATACTATTTAACTTCTGTGGTAAATTTAAACAGTTGTGTCCAACTTGTTTAATTTCAACATATAAAGAAACTATAACTGTCAATTCATTTATGGTTTGCACGTAGCAAATAAGCTTATGATATCCATCCCTCTATATCAAGATTGCAGCATGTTGTCATTGTGTGTACTCTAAAACAACTTGTCAACATCATACTTCCTTAAAGGCTGTCATTAGGACTTTTCAGGGTTCTTAGGTGTCACATATATGTTGTTAACTTTTATTATGTAAGACCAAAGACCTGTGCAAAGGTGAGGATCCATGCCCCAAATGACATTCCTCTTTGGCTCAAGGTACACAAAATTCAATGATGTCACATCTACAATTTAGATGTAGAGATTTAGGATGGCAGACCAAAGGGTACTAAACAAAAAACAAGAATAGACTAGGTGTCTTGACTGTAGAAAGCAGGAAAATAAAACCAAAAATAGATTTTCAGAAATCAACATTACCTTATTACTTTCCCATGTAAGATGTATTTGACTATAAGGAAAGCAATCACTACCAGCTATCCCTGAGTAAGGGGAATGAAACTTACCTTATTACTTTCCCATGTAAGATGTATTTGACTATAAGGAAAGCAATCACTACCAGCTATCCCTGAGTAAGGAGAGTGAAACTTACCTTATTACTTTCCCATGTAAGATGTATTTGACTATAAGGAAAGCAATCACTACCAGCTATCCCTGAGTAAGGGGAGTGAAACTTACCTTATTACTTTCCCATGTAAGATGTATTTGACTATAAGGAAAGCAATCACTACCAGTTATCCCTGAGTAAGGGGAGTGAAACTTACCTTATTACTTTCCCATAAAAGATGTATTTGACTATAAGGAAAGCAATCACTACCAGCTATCCCTGAGTAAGGAGAGTGAAACTTACCTTATTACTTTCCCATGTAAGATGTATTTGACTATAAGGAAAGCAATCACTACCAGCTATCCCTGAGTAAGGAGAGTGAAACTTACCTTATTACTTTCCCATGTAAGATGTATTTGACTATAAGGAAAGAAATCACTACCAGTTATCCCTGAGTAAGGGGAGTGAAACTTACCTTATTACTTTCCCATGTAAGATGTATTTGACTATAAGGAAAGAAATCACTACCAGTTATCCCTGAGTAAGGGGAGTGAAACTTACCTTATTACTTTCCCATGTAAGATGTATTTGACTATAAGGAAAGCAATCACTACCAGCTATCCCTGAGTAAGGGGAATGAAACTTACCTTATTACTTTCCCATGTAAGATGTATTTGACTATAAGGAAAGCAATCACTACCAGCTATCCCTGAGTAAGGGGAGTGAAACTTACCTTATTACTTTCCCATGTAAGATGTATTTGACTATAAGGAAAGCAATCACTACCAGCTATCCCTGAGTAAGGGGAGTGAAACTTACCTTATTACTTTCCCATGTAAGATGTATTTGACTATAAGGAAAGCAATCACTACCAGTTATCCCTGAGTAAGGGGAGTGAAACTTACCTTATTACTTTCCCATGTAAGATGTATTTGACTATAAGGAAAGCAATCACTACCAGTTATCCCTGAGTAAGGGGAGTGAAACTTACCTTATTACTTTCCCATGTAAGATGTATTTGACTATAAGGAAAGCAATCACTACCAGCTATCCCTGAGTAAGGGGAGTGAAACTTACCTTATTACTTTCCCATGTAAGATGTATTTGACTATAAGGAAAGCAATCACTACCAGTTATCCCTGAGTAAGGGGAGTGAAACTTACCTTATTACTTTCCCATGTAAGATGTATTTGACTATAAGGAAAGCAATCACTACCAGCTATCCCTGAGTAAGGAGAGTGAAACTTACCTTATTACTTTCCCATGTAAGATGTATTTGACTATAAGGAAAGCAATCACTACCAGCTATCCCTGCTACTAAACTCTGTATTCCATCTAATACATTAAATCCTTCCACTGTATCTTTAACACTGGGGTGGTAAAAAGATATTTTAGATCCCTGAAAAAGTAAACATGCATTTAGTTACTACCTATTACTGCCAATCTACTTAATTTTGTTAACTTTTTGCCTAATTGTGGTAAAATTACCTGATCCCATCCAAGGCATTGTGCAAAACTTATCAATCTTCACTGTTACATATTCAGACAACTTTTGCAATGTGGAAAAATTATTTAGGAAATTGCTATTCTGTGATTTTGTACTATCATAAAATTTGATTTGAGACATAACTGTTTTAATTACAAAAGATAGCTGTACTTACAGTAAGTCCTAAGACTGATGAAGTATTTGAAAACTTGAGATTTCTAGAAAACCTCAATCCTGTGGTCTCCGTGGTAACAAACTGGTACAATAAGTCATAAAATTTAGTCGAGTCTAAAGGATATTTTGTTGTTCCTGCAAAATTTTTTAAAACTTGATATTGCAAAAACACTTATACTGATACTCATGTAACATGCAATTACTTTATATTTTCTTGTGGTTTAAAATTATCATCAAAGTATTGAGTTTTATTCAATTTCATTAATATTGAGAATTCTTTTCCAGCCAAGTAACATCAACATGATGAACCTGCATTTACATAATGATTTTTTTACTACTATAATTCTAGTTCTTATCCATTTTTGTTTTTGAGCCAATGTAAACATTTAATTCTGAAACATTCAAGCTTGCTATGAAATTTGACTCTACTGAGAAAAATATGCAATTTCTTACAATCTGGCCACCACATTTTGAACCTGATATATCTTGACTACACAATTAATTTTCTAATTAACATGTGAAGGTTTTTTCTTGTCCTGCACAGGAAATTTAGAGTAGGATTATCATACTCAAACTCAGAATTCAACCAATCAAAATACTGGATTTGGTGTTCAAGCACAAATTTTGTACTCAGAGTACTGAGTCAAGCTTTATGACTGTAGGCCCTGAATTGCTTAATATTGTTCTCATGTGTTAATTACCATCAATCTGAGCTGTAACAGCAGCATCAGATGTGGTTGACAGCCAGTCTGTATAGGATTTGAACCAGCTGTCCACAGTTCCATTAACAACATAATTACTGGCTGTCAACTGTGTGTATAAAGAATCCATTTCTGTTTTCTTGCTGAAATAATCGATACTTTCTGAAATAAAAATAACTTATTTTCAATTTGTATATTAGCAAAATGATATTTTCTAAACTATGTCATTACAAGCTAAGACATGAGTAACCTATCCAATTATGGAAATGTCCTGTTAATTCACTTTATTAAACTTACTATGCTTACAACAAGGAAAACAAAATTGAAGTGGTCAGCTATTAATGCAAAGTGAGCTAAAGAGTCTTATTGTGTATATCAGCTATCTGTTGTCATGGACAACTAATATGGGATACAACAACTTAAACAATTTTACAATTAATACAATGTTTTCTTGCATAAATGAAGTTATTCAACCAGTTTAATTGTAAAGCAAATCTAGAAAAAAGCATAAGATTGGTTACTCATCTAAAAATTACAATATATCAGTTTTCATCTAAAGCATATTCTGAATGCCGTCTAGGTTTAATTCAAATTTCACTGCCTATCTTTAATTATTTTTCACATTAATTTGTTCCTTATACATAAAATAGATTTGTTAGTAAACTTAATATTAATACTTGAACATAAACATATAAACTTCTTATATTTTCTTTTTGAAGATGATGACTATAAAGGAATCGCGCTGGGCTTCTTCAGTGTCACAAAATGCAATTTTAATTTCAATTGGCAATACAATAAAGCTGCTGGCAATATTTCTAGCACCATTTTTCTGATGTAGAAATTTAGTTTTTGTTTGTAACTGTGATAAAATTCATATCCAATATACTGTTCAGATAAGTTTACTGTTATCTGCTGCCAGTGCATGCTGTTTATCACCTGTACAGGTTCATTTATTTAAGGCTTCCATTTCCTAATTAAAATGCCACTGATAAACCCTTAACTGTTGTTTAAATCAGTTGATTGAACAAAACATGAACCAGTTGATCATGGGGTCAATTGTCATTCTGATCCTCTACACTGTAGGGACAATTGAAAATAATTACCCATAAATCCAAAGGAAGTACTGGAATTAGTTTTTCTATTCTAATCTTTGAAAAATAATAAAATAGAGATCAAAATTAATCGTCTTCATCCTTAATTACTTTTCAAAAAAAAAATTAACGTTTTGCAGTTTCTTCAAAGTTAAAAGATTTCATTTCAGGTTTCAATATAAACAAACTTCAATGTTCTTTTGTGCTTGTTATTAAATGAAGAAAGACTTTTCTAACTGTTAATGATGAGCAAGCAAACCTTTATTAAAAAAAATCTGACGCATGATTTAACTTCACATGAAGAAAAAATATGATAAATGTGTGTAGAGGAGGGATACATGAAACTTGGTGCAAATTTTCACAAATCAGCAACAATTTTATACAGGGGATTTTTCTGGGGACTACTTTTTAGAGGCAAGCCTAGTCCCTGCCATAAACCATTGAGATGGACAACTAGCCTATTCACACTTACTACAATAAACTCCAGCCTGTTCTTGTCCTGAACTGAAGTATTTGTCTGATGCTGTAAGGTAATCATAGGCATAAGAATCTGATGGAAGGAACCATTTTTCTTCAAATTTCTGTTCTAAATTAACAGTTCCCCAAATAGTCAAACCAAACAATGCAGCAGTAAGTACAAGGACTACTATCTGAAAAAAAGAGTTAAATTTGAATGGACGATGTCAATCTTTCTTCTTTTACTCTACATTTCTTTCGATGCTGTTGGGATTTACAAAAATGTACATGAAAAACTTTATAGATTACGGTGCAGTCCGGTGTATTATGCGTACCTAAGACTTTTGGCTTCACTTTGGTAATCTCATAAAACCAATAATCAGATAATATTGTGTGAACAAATTCATGACATACTTTAATTTCATGAAATCTTCTTTATGTATGGTTCCACTCTAAGATTTTATGTAATGTGTGTCCAAAATTAGGGAAACCCCTGTTTTGACAGTTCTTCAAATGGTCGGTAATTTCGTGCATGCATTCTAAAAACAGCTTATTTTGAATACAACAAAATATAGTTCAGTTTGAACCAAACAGACTTCCAAGGATGCGGAGCAAAATTTATTTCATTTTGATAAACATTGGACTTAAAATGAAACCAATTTTTTCTGATGATGTAAATTTTTTTTAATGGCAAATGGCTGAATATGGTTAATCATGGGATTGCAATTATAAATTTATGCTTGAACTTATCAATTTTATTCGTTTTTGTCCCTTTGGAAGACTAAAACAATTACAGGAACGGTTCTATTTGTGTTGCATTACGGATATGACGAAATCAGGTAATGCTTGATATCACCAGCCGTGCTGACACAGGGGATTCCACTGTAATTCAATAATTGTTTTAAAATAATCTTTGATGACCTCAAACTGAATATAAAGAAAGAACCTTTGGTGAGAAAACTTACATACCCCAACACCATGCATAATTAATATGGGATATTTTGCCGAAATGAAAAGTCCATATTTAAGATTTTTCAGATGAACAAACTCATCTGAGGTTTATGATTACTGGTAGTAGAAAGCTCCATACAAATTTGAAGTTGATCTGATGAAAAATGAAGGTTCTATCCCAGCTACAAGCAGTTAAATGGGATATTTTAACAATTCCCTAAAAAACAGTCCCATATTTCTGAGTTTTCTGATTATCTGAAAGTTTCTGACTAATCCAAAGTTTAATGGACGGAAACCTTTATTTAAATTAGAAGGGAATAGAACATAAAATGAAGCCACTAGCAGGGCAACAGGTACCCACAGCTTATTGAACAATGAATTCAATTATGCCAAAAATAAAATACTGTATTGAGACACAAAGGACTAAAATATTCTGCACCCATATTTAATAACTACTTTTTTGATAAAACCAACAAAATATCACTTCACCAAAATATGCCAATTTATGGTATCTATGAAAAAATATAATTTGATATAGTTTGTATTTAAATGAAATACCTTCACTGGAAACTTGAGGAGATGTGGAGCATAGAACTTAAGTATAAATGTTGGCAGGTATTCCTTCTGGCTACAGTTGTTGGGTTTATATTCTGGTTTATGTTTATAAAAACAACAACAAGCATTCAATCTAGCTGCAGCTCTTTTAACATCCACTGCCATCGCAGATACAAAGAACGTTGTTGACAAACCATACAGAGCTATTATTCCAAATGCAGCAAAGATACAGAAAGACCTCAGGGCAGGCAGTAACTGAAATGGATAAAGTTACATCATGTCATTATAATTAAAACAATAACATAAACCATTGACAATTAGTCTTGTGTAAATTCAGACTTCAAAATAGTAATTTGCATTTGTCATGTGGCCTCTTTCTGCAAAAAGTTGAAAGCAATGCTTCATAATGTTCAACACTAAATTTACTTTTTAGACTTATTGTAGCACCTCCAAAGATGAAAGTTGCCTATACCAAGTCAGAAATATGACAGTTGTTTTCCATTCATTCCGTTGGTTGATAAAGTCTAACATTTGATTTTGTCAGTTTTTATGAATTTCCACCTTTTGGAATTTACATTGGAGTTTGATATTTTTGTTATATCTTTTTATGTAGCTGTGATATAGTATTCAGGACAACTATTTTTCTCCAACCTCTGGTCAGATTGTATTTTGTCATTGAGTTATGGTAATGTGCTATTAAGGACATTGTTGTAGCAGCTTTGTTTACAAAGCCATGATGTCAGTCATGACCCATTACAATGATAATGGTGTCATTTTTTTTCTAAATTTTTATTGTTTTTAAAGCTTCAAACGAAATTGGCTACATGCATGGTTCACCATACTTCTTTGTTCAGATGTGTCTTATCCATATACATTTTTTTATAACACATTTATTTTAATTTAAGGGTGTGGCTAATGTTTTTATACAGAAGGAAATAGACCTTCAAAAGCAATAATAAAATGCTTCGCTGGGGCGCAGCTTGATACGACCGCAGAGGTCGAACCCTGAACAGTTGGGGCAAGTATGGACACAACATTCAAACTTGATACAGCTCTGAATTTGGATTGTTATTAAATATTTGACACAGCATAGGTTTCTGACACAGAAAGAATGTGGTCTAAGAACTTGAATTTTTTTAATTTACCTATTATGGTCCAATGTCCAAAATCAAAATACATGGTTAGATTCAGCATATCAAAGAACCCCATATATTCAATTTTTGTTAAAATCAAACAAAGTTTAATTTTGGACCCCAACTTGGACAAACTTGAAAATTGGGCCCATAATAAAAAATCTAAACACATGTTTAGATTCAGCATATCAAAGAACCCCAAGAATTCAATTTTTGCTAAAATCAAACTAAGTTTAATTTTGGACCCTTTGGACCTTAATGTAGACCAATTTAAAAAACGGGACTTAAAATTAAAAATCTAAATACACAGTTAGATTTGGAATATCAAAAAACCCCAATAATTCAATTTTTGATGAAATCAAACAAAGTTTAATTTTGGACCCTTTTGACCTCAATATGAACCAATTTGATAGCGGGGCCCACAAATAAAAATTCTAAATTCATGGTTAGATTCAGCATATCAAAGAACCCCATATATTCAATTTTTGTTGAAATCAAAAAAAGTTTAATTTTGGACCCCAACTTGGACCAACTTGAAAACTGGGCCCATAATCAAAAATCTAAACACATGTTTAGATTCAGCATATCAAAGAACCCCAAGAATTCAATTTTTGTTAAAATCAAACTAAGTTTAATTTTGGACCCTTTGGACCTCAATGAAGACCAATTTAAAAAACAGGACCCAAATTAAAAATCTAAAAACACTGTTAGATTTGGCATATCAAAGAACCCCAATAATTCAATTTTCGATGAAATCAAACAAAGTTTAATTTTGGACCCTTTTGACCTCAATATGAACCAATTTGATAGCAGGGCCCACAAATAAAAAATCTAAATACATTGTTAGATTCAGCATATCAAAGAACCTCATATATTCAATTTTTGTTGAAATCAAACAAAGTTTAATTTTGGACCCCAATTTGGACCAACTTGAAAACTGGGCCCATAATCAAAAATCTAAATACATGTTTAGATTCAGCATATCAAAGAACCTCATTTATTCAATTTTTGTTGAAATCATACAAAGTTTAAATACTGGACCCTATCTTGGACCAACTTGAAAACTGGGCCCATAATCAAAAATCTAAACACATGTTTAGATTCAGCAAATCAAAGAACCCCAAGAATTCAATTTTTGTTAAAATCAAACTAAGTTTAATTTTGGACCCTTTGGACCTCAATGTAGACCAATTTAAAAAACAGGACCCAAAATTAAAAACCTAAATACACGGTTAGATTTGGAATATCAAAGAACCCCAATAATTCAATTTTAGATGAAATCAAACAAAGTTAAATTTTGGACCCTTTTGACCTCAATATGAACCAATTAGATAACGGGGTCCACAAATAAAAAATCTAAATACATGGTTAGATTCAGCATATCAAAGAACCCCATATATTCAATTTTTGTTGAAATCAAACAAAGTTTAATTTTGGACCCCAATTTGGACCAACTTGAAAACTGGGCCAAAAATCAAAAATCTAAATACATGTTTAGATTCAGCATATCAAAGAACCTCATATATTCAATTTTTGCTAAAATCAAACAAAGTTTAATTTTGGACCCTTTGGACATTAATGTAGACCAATTTGAAAACTGGACCCAAAATTAAAAATCTAAATACACTGTTAGATTTGGCATAACAAATAAATAAATGTGATCAAAGATTTTACAAATCTAATGCGCCATACTGTGCAATTAAAGATTACTTCTTGAAATTTTTCAATATTTGAAATTTGAAAAAAAAATAATATTTGAAGAATAATTCTTTTTAATTTCTGAAATCTGAAATGAGAAAAAATTGGCCCCCCACAATTTCTTTTTATCCCCCCCCCCTCTTTTTCCCCCAAAAAAATTCTTTCCCTCAAGATATGGTCATAATCTCAATTCAAATTTCCAATGGAGTTGGCAACCATAATTACCCATTTAAATTTACCATAGTGCTAACTTAATCTAATTTATAATAGAATTAATAAAAATATAGTGTCAAATCTTTCATATGGATTTTTTTGTAAAAAAAAAAGATGAAAACATTTGCAGATATTTTTACTGGTCTTCCTTTATAAATATGCATTTCTTTAAACATAATTTAAAAGCAGTGTAAGGGAAGTAACCAAAACGTTGTATTTGGATTACCTCCCTTACACTGTTTTAGATTATCTTTATTGTTCATTAACCATTACTTTATACATAATTTAAAAGCAGTGTAAGGGAGATAATTTCAATGATGTATTTGATTTATCTCCCTTACACTGCTTTAAATTATGTTTTGTACTAAAGTATTTGTCCATTAACCAGGACAACCTTGTTTTTCCCCCTTTTTTGCCCCTAATTCCTAAACGGTTTGAGCCATAACCCCCCAAAGCAAATCCTAACCATCCCTTTGTGGTATGGAAAATTGTAGTATAATTTCAGAGAGATCCATACACCGTTCCACAGTTATTGTCTGGAAACTAGAAAATGCTCATTTTTGGCCCCTTTTTGGCCCCTAATTCCTTAACTGTTGGTACCATAAACGCCAAAATCAATCCCAACCTTCCTTTTGTGGTATTTAACCTTATGGTCAAATTTCAAAAAGATCCATTCACTTAAACTAAAGTTAGAGTGCGAAAACCAATATGTATTCGGACGACGACGCCGGACGACGACGCCGACGACGACGCCGGACGACGACGACGCCAACGTCATACCAATATACGACCACAAAATTTTTTTGCGGTCATATAAAAAGGATAAAATGCTCCGCAGGGCGCAGCTTGATACGACCGCAGAGGTCGAACCCTGAACAGTTGGGGCAAGTATGGACACAACATTCAAGCTTGATACAGCTTTGCATTTGGATTGTGTTTAAATATTTGACACAGCATAGGTTTCTGACACAGAATGAATGTGGTCTAAGAACTTAAAATTTTAAATTGGACATTCACCTATTATGGTCCAATATCCAAAATCTAAATACATGGTTAGATTCAGCATATCAAAGAACCCCAAGAATTCAATTTTTGATGAAATCAAACAAAGTTTAATTTTGGACCCTTTTGACCTCAATGTGGACAAAGTTGATTAAGGGGCCCAAAAATCTAAATACATGGTTAGATTCAGCATATCAAAGAACCCCATATATTAAATTTTTGTTGAAATCAAACAAACTTTAATTTTGGACCTCGATTTGGACCAACTTGAAAACTGGGCCCATAATCAAAAATCTAAATACATGTTTAGATTCAGCATATCAAAGAACCCTAAGAATTCAATTTTTGTTAAAATCAAACTAAGTTTAGTTTTGGACCCTTTGGACCTTAATGTAGACCAATTTGAAAACGGAACCAAAAATTAAGAATCTAAATACATGGTTAGATTCCGCATATCAAAGAACCCCAATAATTCAATTTTTGATGAAATCAAACAAAGTTTAATTTTGGACCCTTTGGACCTCAATGTGGACCAATTAAAAAACGGGGCCCAAAATCCAAAAACTAAATACACGGTTAGATTCAGCATATTAAAGAACCCCAAGAATTCAAGAATAAAACCCCATTGAAATTGGTCAAGAAATAAGCAATTTATACGAAGTATCTTCTTTTGCACAATACTGTGCAATTAAATATTTCTTGCTATTGCGCAATACTGTACAATTGACAATTTCTTGCTATTGCGCAATATTGTACTATTGGATATTTCTTGCTATTGCGCAATACTGTGCAATTGAAGATTTCTTGCTATTGTGCAATACTGTGCAATTGAAAATTTCTTGCTATTGCACAATACTTATTATATAATAATTTACACATCCTGTTTGGTGTGTATCTCCTACCATATCATTATTATTTGCTTTTAAATATAAATCAGAAATAACCAACTTAAAATGGAAAATTTTAAAAGAAAAAAAAAAGGAAAAAAAGAAAAAAAAGGAAAATAAAAAAAATCCCCCCCCCAAATTTTTTGAACCCCCTTATGATTTATCACCCCCAAACTCAATCCCAGCCTTCCCTTTGTGGTATGGTACCTTGCAGTACAATTTCAGAGAGATCCATACACTTGAACACAAGTTATTGTCTGGAAACTAGTAAAATGTGTTTTTTGGCCCCTTTTTGGCCCCAAATCCCTAAACGTTTAGGGCAATTACCCCCAAACTCAAACCCAGCTTTCCCTTTGTGATATGGAACCTTGTAGTACAATTTCAGAAAGATCCATACACTTACACACAAGTTATTGTCCTGAAACTAGAAAAATGCTTGTTTTTTGCCCCTTTTTGGCCCCTAATTCCTAAAATATTGAGGCAATTACCCCCATCATCAATCCCAGCCTTCCCTTTGTGGAATGGAACCTTGCAGTACAATTACAGAGAGATCCATACACTTGAACACAAGTTATTGTCTGGAAACTAGAAAAATGCTTATTTTTGGCCCCTTTTTGGCCCTAAATTCCTAAACGTTTCGGCAATTACCCCCAAACTCAATTCCAGCTTTCCCTTTGTGATATGGAACCTTGTAGTACAATTTCAGAAAGATCCATACACTTACACACAAGTTATTGTCATGAAACTAGAAAAATGCTTGTTTTTTGCCCCTTTTTTGGCCCCTAATTCCTAAAATTGTGAGGCAATTACCCCCAAAATCAATCCCAGCATTCCTTTTGTGATATGGAACCTTGTGGTACAATGTCAGAGAGATCCATACACTAACACACAAGTTATGTCTGGAAGTTACAAAAATGCTTATTTTTGGCCCCTTTTTGGCCCCTAATTCCTTTACTGTTGGTACCATAACCCCCAAAATCAATCCCAACCTTCCTTTTGTGGTATTGAACCTTGTGGTAAAATTTCATAGAGATCCATTCACTTAAACTAAAGTTAGAGTGCGAAAACCAATGTGTCTTTAAGCGACGCCAGACGACGACGACGACGACGACGACGACGACGACGCCAACGTCATACCAATATACGACCACAAAAATTATTTTGCGGTCGTATAAAAAAAGGAAAAAAAAAAATTACCCCTTTTTTGACCCCCGCCCCCTTATGATTCATCACCCCCACCCCCCTTTCCCCCCAAACCAAGCTCAATAACAGCCTTGCCTTTGTGGTATGGTACCTTGTAATACAATTTTAGAGAGATCCATACACTTGAACACAAGTTATTGTCTAGAAACTAAAAAATGCTTATTTTAAACCCCTTTTTAGGCCCCTTATTACTAAACGTTTTGGGCAATTACCACAACACTCAATTCCAGCTTTCCCTTTGTGAAATGGAACCTTGTAGTAAAATTTCAGAAAGATCCATACACTTACACACAAGTTATTGTCATGAAACTAGAAAAATGCTTGTTTTTTGCCCCCTTTTGGCCCCTTATTCCTAAAATTGTGAGGCAATTAACCCCAAAATCAATCCCAGCATTGACCCTTTGTGATATGGAATCTTGTGGTACAATGTCAAAGAGATCCATATGCTAACACACAAGTTATGTCTGGAAGTTACAAAAATGCTTATTTTCGGCCCCTTTTTGGCCCCTAATTCCTTAACTGTTGGTACCATAACCCCCAAAATCAATCCCCACCTTCCTATTGTGGTATTGAACCTTATGGTAAAATTTCATAGAGATCCATTCACTTAAACTAAAGTTAGAGTGCGAAAACCATTGTGTATTCGGACGACGACGCCGGACGACGACGACGACGACGACGACGACGCCAACGTCATACCAATATACGACCTCAAAATTTTTTTGCGGTCGTATAAAAAATGGCTAAAGGCTTGTAGTATGTTATATCTTTGAAGTTGTCAACACTGTAAACAAAATCCTGTCTTGTTTATCTAAATATGAATATATATAGATTGTAAATATTGGTTTCTAGATATGAAATAACACAGGTTTTCAGGTCCTAATGTAGACCTTCATGGTTCTACTCCTTTCCTTGTAGCACTTACTGTAGTAGCTCCAATGAAGAAAGCCATGATGTCAGTCAGTGATGTTACTGTTATAGAAGCACCAGAATGTCTAAGAGCTTTCCCAATTCTCTCATTTAGTGGTAATTTTTGTTGTTCATCAGATAAATTTTTCAATGCTCCAACTATCACAAACATGTCATCAACACCAATACCTAACAATGAAAAAAGATGTCATCAACACCAATACCTAACAATGAAAAAAGATATCATCAACACCAATACCTAATAATGAAAAAAGATGTCATCAACACCAATACCTAACAATGAAAAAAGTTATCATCAACACCAATACCTAACAATGAAAAAAGATATCATCAACACCAATACCAAACAATGAAAAAGATGTCATCAACACCAATACCTAACAATGAAAAAAGATGTCATCAACACCAATACCTAACAATGAAAAAAGATATCATCAACACCAATACCTAACAATGAAAAAAGATAAATGTGAATTATTTGTGGAAATCATACATGGGTTATATAATTAATGCAATTGAGAAATCATCTTCTGGTACTTTTACATCTGTGAATGAATTAACACACTAATTCATCATCATGGTATCCTAATCTTGGATGTGCTTAAACTATTACAGCATTTTCAAGCTTTTCATTGATTTACAGCATTTTTCATGTGCCTGTCCTAAGTTGTGGATCTTGTCAGAGTTGTCTTTTGTTTAAACCGAATAATATTTTTTCAATACATATGAATTTAAGTATTAAATATTGTATCAAAAGTAAGGATTGTTTTGTTAGATAAAACATAGAAACTATCTATACACTATACATAATAATACATATATTAAACACATCTGGTTTTAGAACTCAATTTTGCAGACAAAACATAAGGGAGTCTATAGCTAAATTTACCTAATAAAAGGAATGGTAAAACTGAATGTAATGGTCCATACTCAAATCCACATAATGAGGCCAGACTAAAACAGATTCCAATCGACATACCAACAACCACCACACCAGCTATAGCAAGACCAAACTGTAAAGATAATAAACTAAATACAATATTCGAAAGATTACCTGGTGTACCTAAAGAGCTACATATTATGTAATCATGTCATATGATAGAAGTAGCAGAATTATTTTAATACATAACATTTTTTTAAATAGCTCTTGATAAAATAAAACAAGACTGACCAGATTCAAAGAACTATTTACTTATTTATGCTGTATGTTGAAATCAATGTAAAATTTACCTCTGACATTGTAATGTAATCTTCACTATTAATCAGTTAATGTTATCTAATGAAAAAAATTGTTTAATGTAGAAATGATTTATTCAGCAAAATATTCAGGAAATAAGAATTGCTGTCTTTTTGATCTGTAAAGTACATGAAAAATCAACATTAAGATGTATGTTTACAGATTAAAGATAACAATTCATGTTGAAAGTATTTGAAATTTTGACAAACTGTGATGGACATCAAAACAAGTTTGAAGTTTGGACAGGTTTCACTTATAAGTGATTATTGAGATAGCACTTTTATACATGGATTCCAATTTCCTTGTTTGTTTGAAAATTAATGCATTAAAGTTTTCACAAAAATAAGAGTACTTGAATAATGATATAAATTAATGATATAATTTGTTCTTACCCTTTGTTCAAGACAGTTGAATTTACCCAACATTATGGTAATATACACAATAACAATAACATATCCTGCCGACAGAAAAGCAATGTCTCCTCGAATGGCACCCCCAGCTTCATCACCAAAGCTGAAAAATACAGAAAAAAACACAAATATATTCTACAAACATGAAAGTATTGTCTCCTAAAATGACACCTCTAACGTCATCATTAAAGCTGAAAAATACAAAATATCCTGCACAGAGACCACCATTGTCTCTTTCAATGGCACCAACCACTTCCATGACTGAATCAGTGAATCTTATAAAATAACAGATTAAAAGCACAGACAAATCAAAAAATAAAGTGACATCATTTAATAAGTCAGTGAGTGACATTCTTGTTTTCTAAATCATATGCTATTTTCAGGCATAAAATGGCAAGTACAGTTTCTCCTTTGATTTCATAAACAGTACATATCTCAAATAAAAGTGAAAAAATGTTATATCCCTTTTATTCTATTTATGTGTGTAATGTATAAAAATATTTTTCATCAGAGTTTTCTATTGTGCTCAGGAGACTTCGTTCACTTTTTAATAACTTGTCCTTTCACAACCGACGCATACAATCTTCTTTTCCAAAGACTGTATCACTTGTGCAAACATAAAGTCTGACCCATACTTAAACTTGAAAAGTTGATGAATGTGAAGTTACTTATTCAAACTTTGTGAATGTTGAACTATTTTGGGGCTGTAGGGCCTTTTAATTGCATTTTACATTACATAGTAATTCTTTTGTGATACAAGAAAAGTCTTGTTCATACCAAAATCTGATTGGAGGATCACAAAATATTTCAAATGAGAGCTGAAATTCTTTCTATCTTAAGGTTCATAACAAATGGACACAATGCCTGTGTTTTCACTTAAACATTTGCTCCAAGTACAGACAAACCTGTGCAGTTGGAAAAGTTTTAGGGTCTACCATCCAGAGATATTTCAGAGTAAAATGCATTTTGTGTTTCAGAAAGATGAAATCTTATTTTGAATTTCGATGTGCCTTTTTTTCCTTCCTGCCGGTGTAAAAATAACTGTAAGGATGGGTGAGATCTTTGCTCTGTTTTTTTTTCTGTCCTCTAAGGTAACACTTGTATTGTATTGATTGACAATAGATGTCTACACAACAATTAGTGATTTAAAGGGTGTGACAGAGTGGACAGTATCAAATGTAATTCAGGCGTTTGTTTATTTAACCATCATCTGCAGTGAATAAAGACCCAATTAGACATTTTTTACCATATAAGTTTTTAAAAAAATCTGGATTTTTCCTGAAAATTTTCTTATTTTTTACTTTTTTTCTACAAATTTGGGATTTTATACCAACATTTTTTGGCCAAATATGTCTTTTTTAACAATTTTTTTTTTTCAAATTTGAAATTTTTCACTAAAAAAATAAATCAATTTTGCACCAATGTTGGATTTTCTTTCTGCCAAATTAAACTTTTATAACAATTTCTTTTCTCTGACACAAATCAATTAGTGAAAAAATTATTAAGCTACCTGTGTACCATGACTACACAATTTAGTGTCAATAAACTGTGCACTTTTTACTCAGTCAGTTTGGTCATGGAATAACAATGATGAGTCCTATATTTTGGACAAGGTAAATGGCATCAAGCCAAATCAATTAAATCCTATTGTATGAATTGAATAAACCAAATATGAAGTCATTCTGTAATCAGTTCCTGAGAAAATTGCAACTGAAATATTTGCTGGACAAACTGACGGAAGGACAAGGTGATTGCAAATTGCCAATATAGCTCTCACTACTAGAGAGGGGTATAAAAAAATTGTGTAAAACAAGGCGATATAAAATGATAACAATAACATACCCCGATAATATTTCTTTTAACCCTTATGCAGTGGGCAACTTCAGCTTTATCTAGACTCTTACCTTCTTATAGCAAACACGTATGTACTACTGATGTCTGAATGGCCATTTCGTCCTAAATCAATAAGTAGTTGCTCCCAGGCTTCTGCTTGGGCCTGTACCTGTTAGAAATGTACATTTATACATGTGTTACAATAAACATTGTTGCATTGAAAAGGTTATATAGTCTTGCATTTAATTTTTTAGAATTAAATTATATAGAGTTGATAAATATTGTAATCAGTAGGCTATTGAGGTAGAATTTATATATGTATTTCACTTTAAATTTTTCAGCTGTATAATTGAATTCTTGCTTCTTAAATGATTAAATAATTGACCATGTCTGATAAACATCTTTCTAAGAAAAAATATAATGATGGAAATGTTGTCTAGTCCTGTAAGATAACATACAGCATCATCTCCCTGAATGAACCAAGTCATTTTTGTAGCTGAAGCTGAGTCTATATCACCACTGCCATCATACACCTCACCCCCAAGTACTGTTGTCACATCATAACTGTTATAATACATTGGACTGAAAACAGAAAACATTTATGTTGAAAAAAATAAACATCTTCACAAGAGGGTGGGAGGTAAATGTTTTAAAAGATTTGTAATTGCAATTTTATTTTATAATTAGACATGCAAGTTATTGTTTGGAAATTTTATGAGATTCAATGGCAGCATTATTGAGTTGTCATTAAAACATTTAAGTTGCTTATTTATTAATAAGAAAAACCTTTTTTTTTTTAAATCAAAAGGTGTTTTGGCTTCAAGGCACAAGACATTATGTAAAAATTTCTTTCAAATCTTGATAAGCAAATATGGGATATATTTGTAATTTCAAATATTCAACACTTCATGACAGAAATTTTTTTTTAATCAGTTATTAAATATTTACCTTGAAGTTGCAGAATTAATTTTTGTTTTAATGTCAGCCTGAGATAAAGCTAAAATGGTTGTCTCATCGTAACTCCACAACTCTAAGATACTGTTAACCAAACAGTTCGATCCTGATCTGAATAATACATAAAAAGGATAAAAGTAATCATTAAAATAAATGGGGAATGTGTCAATGGGACACAGATGATGCCCCCGCTGGTCTATCATAAAAAGTTATAAAGGGACATAACTGAAAAACGGTAATAGTGACGCTACCCAAATTTGTACTTGATCTGAGTTTTGTGGTAATAACAATTATGTATAAGTTTCATAACATTTGGTTGAGGCGAACTTAAGTTAGATAACTGAAACGAAAAATTCAGCAATTTTTCCAATTGTAAAGGGGCATAACTCTAGAACAATAAAAGTGACACCCCAAAATTCAAACTTGATATGTATTTTGTGGTAATAAGCATTGTGTATAAGTTTCATAACATTTGGTTGAGGCTAACAAGTTTGAGAACGGAAACAAAATAAATGGAGAATGTGTCCCCATGGACACAGGTGATGCCCCTGCTTGCATACAACATTATAAAGGGACATAACTCAAGAACGATAAAAGTGACCCTACCCAAATTTGTACTTGATCTGAGTTTTGTGGTAATAAGTATTGTGTATAGGTTTCATAATGTTTGGTTGGGGCAAACTTAAGAAACAGAACGGAAACTAAAAATTTAGTAATTTTTCGATTTAAAAAGGGGCATAACTCTAAAACGGTTAAAGTGATGCCACCAAAATTCAAACTTGATCTATGTTTTGTGGTAATAAGCATTGTGTATAAGTTTGATAACATTTGGTTGAAGCAAACTTAAGTTAGAGAACTGAAACCAATTTTGGGACGTACGGACGTACGTATGGACAGATTGACAAGGGTAAAACTTAATGCCCCCTCCGCTTTGGTGGGGGCATACAAATGTGCATAGACTTACTGTATACAGAGTGTTGAAAAGTTGTTTGTTCCTGTTGTCAAGCTTAAACTGCTATTGTATATACTCCACATCTGTAATATTAATAATACTTTAAGTTTTAGAACGTACATGTACTATATACATCTTACTTACATCATCATTCATATTGTTTTTGTTCAAGCTAAACATGCTAAATATAAGCATTTATCAGAACTTTATGTGTATTAGGAACAGACCAAACCTCAAGTTGTCCAATTTTGGAACAATTTTTAAGATTTTGATTCATAGCATTTATTCTGCCTGAATCATTGCTTTACCGGGTAATCTAAATGCGAATATGTTCCTCTATTGTTGAAAAAAAAGTAATTCAGACTTATGGGAGATCCTATTGAATAGGAGAGACATCTTTCTTGAACATTTTGTACAGGAGGGACATCTGTCTTGAACTTGCTGTACAGGAGGGACATCAGTCTAGAACCTACTGTACAGGACGGACATCTATCTAGAACCTACTGTACAGGAGGAACATCTGTCTTGAACTACAGTAAATGAGGGACAGCTGTCTTGAACCCACTGTACAGGAGGGACATCTGTCTAAAACCTACTGTACAGGAGGGACATCTGTCTTGAATCTACTGTACATGAGTGAAATCTGTCTTGAATCTACTGTACAGGAGGCACATCTGTCTTGAATCTACTATAAATGAGGGACATCTGTCTTGAATCTACTATACAGGAGGGACATCTGTCTTGAACCCACTGTATAGGAGAGACCTCTATCTTGAGTCTTCTTGATCTACTATACAGAAGGAACAGAAGTGAACCTTCTTTTGGGAGAGACATCTCACTTGAACCTTTAGTTCGGAGGGACATCTGTCTTGAACTACAGTACAGGAGGGGCATCTATCTTGTACCTTCTGGAGGGATGGACATCTGTTGTGAACCTACTGTACAGGAAGGACATCTGTCTTGAATGTACTGAACAGGAGCTCGAGGGACATCTGTCTTGAACGTACTGTACAGGAAAGACAAATTATCTTGAACCTTCTTCAGGGAGGGACATCTGTCTTGAATTTACTGTAAAGGATGGACATTTATCTTGAACTTTATTTAGGGAGGGACATATATCTTTAACCAACTTTACAGGAGGACATCTATATGTATATTGAACCTACTGTAGAGGAGGGACATCTATATGTGTCTTGAATCTTCTGAACATGATTTGCATTTCATGAACCTACTGTACAGGAGGGACATCTGCCTAGAACCTACTGTACAGGAGGGACATCTGGCTTGAACGTACTGTACAGGAGGGACATCTGGCTTGAACCTACTGTACAGGAGGGACATCTGTCTATAACCTACTGTACAGTCGGGACATCTGTCTTGAACCTACTGTACAGGAGGGACGTCTGGCTTGAACTTACTGTACAGGAGGGACATCTGTCTAGAATGTACAGGAGGGACATCTGTCTAGAACCTACTGTACAGGAGGGACATCAGTCTAGAACCTTCTGTACAGGAGGGACATCTGTCTAGAACCTACTGTACAGGAATGACATCTGTCTAGAACATACTGTACAGAAGGGACATCTGGCTTGAACCAGCTGTATAGGAAGGACACCTGGCTTGAACCTACTGTACAGGAGGGACATCAGGCTTGAACCTACTGTACAGGAGGGACATCTATCCTGAGCCTTCTATACAGGAGGGACATCTATCCTGAGCCTTCTATATAGGAGGGACATCTATCTTGAACTGACTGTACAGGGAGGACATCTGTCGTGAACCTAATGCACAGAAGGGACATCTATCTTGAACCTAATGTATTAGAGGGACATGTCTTGGAACCTTTTGTACTGAATGGATATCTGGCTTGAACCCCAGGAGGGACATCTATCTTGAAGCTACTGTTTATTTTACTTGTGGTTGCTTTTATTTCCAAGATGTTTGTTATTATTTCCAAGATTTTTTTATCAGCTTACAGTCAACGTTAATATTTATTCCCCTTTCAACAATTTTCAAAATACTTTCATCAATAGAGACATGATAGAAGCAGGCACCAATGGTGTTATATCAATTAGCCATAAACTAGTTTTTAAGAATTCTGACTGGATGAAAAACAGATATTCTGAACCTGGTTGGTAAACAAAACAAGGGCATAATAAGGCACCAATCTCAGAATACTTTGACCTATGACATTGGTACTAATCTAAATATAGATTTCAATTCCTTTAATTGGGAACCTCAATCTACATGTACATGTATGGAGTAAGTTCGACACAAACATACTACTTAAAATAAATTTTACTTACTGCAGACAGTACTGTAGGTGTCAGTACATTGTTACTGACAAATATCATGGTACCAAATCTAACGGTTGATGGAAATACTGATTCTACCCATGATTTATAATCTAGAACTTTAGCATTGACAGGAACCCAGAGTGTGTCATCACCATCTGCAGACTCAGTAAAGGTAAATGGAGCAGCTATACAAATCAGTCCTGTCACAACTGTAGCGATTATCATAACCCTCCATGGATGAGTACCAATTATTCTTCCTAGTCTAAAATATGATTCTGATAATTAGTATAATTTTGAAATAAATATATACATTTCATTGGCTATAACATGACAATTTATTCATTTGAACAACATATAAGTAATGGTTACAATGTTTATCACTCCTCACATTACCATTAAAATATATCTGTATGAAATGTTAAAGAATCTCCACGATGCTTTGCTGTGCCGTGAGTAAATAATTTACCTCGACCCCAATGATTTTCATAACATAAGAACAATAAATCTGAAAAAGATCAAGTCATTTAAAGGAAGGCAGCTTTTAGGGGTAGTAAAATAAAATTTCATTCGAATACATTTGTAAATGAAGACTAGACTTCGTGTGAAAAACACAAAAACAACTGTCAACAAGCATTCTGAGAGTACAATGTATTGCATGGCAATACATAGTACCTTACCGGTTAAAAATTCATGGTACTGGAACAAAATGTTAACTTGTTCTATAACTTGTCATGGTCTTAACTATATAACAAATATCAAGTCAATATCTTCAAGCATGATGAAAATAAACAGCTGTGCCGTAAGCGCATGATATGTCTGTCGCTTTTTCAAAGAATAAAGTTCAATAACTTCTCAATGTCATATCAGAAATTTATGAAAAACTAAAGGGAGGTTATCTCAAAAGATATAAACCAGTCACCAATGTTTCACGAAAACTGCTCAAAGCTCTTAAATGATATTGTCAGAAAACTGGAAAATCACCCCTTTTTATGAATAAAACCCCATAACTCGGAAACGTAAACTCTAAAATTTATAAAAATCCAAAGGGAGCTCATGTCAATAGATATAAACAATTCACCAAAGTTTCTTGCAAATTGGTGAAGATGGCGAAAGATACCAGAGGGACATTCAAACTCATAATTCAAAAATAAACTGACAACACCATGGCTAAAAAAGAAAAAGACAAACAGACACACAAAAGTTCACAAAACACAACATAGAAAACTAAAGACTAAGCAACACCAACCCCACCAAAAACTGGGGGAGATAGATGTTTTTGAGTTATTGTCCGAAAAACTGGAAAATCCGTCTTTTTTAATAAATAAAACCCCACAACTCGGAAACGTAAAATCTAAAATTTATAAAAAACGAAAGGGAGCTCACCTCAATATAAACAATTCACCAAAGTTTCATGCAAATTGGATAAAGCATTTTTGAGTTATTGTCCGACATGTTGATGACAGACGTACAACGGTATACCATAATACGTCCTGTAAACGGGTGTATAAAAAGTGTGGAAAACTAATTATTCAAGTGAATTTTCTAAGTCCAAGGACCATAATCAAAATCATCAGACTGGAACAAAATTCGAACTTGATCTGTAACTTGTCATGATAAAACTATGTACCAATTATCAAATCAATATTTTCAAGAATGACGAAAAAAATTGCGGTAAACTGATAATTTGAGTGAATCTTTTATGTCCAAGGACCATAACTCTGCACAAAATCATCAGATCGGAACAAAATTAGTACTTGATCTGTAACTTTTCACGATAAAACAATACACCAAATATCAAATCAATATCTTCAAGGACGAAGAAAAAAGTTTGGAAAACTGATTTGCCGTACTGACGGATGGACAGACAGACAGACGGACAAAGTGCAAACCTTAAGTCCCCTTCCACTTTGTTGGTAGGGGACTAATAATCTCACAAAATAAAGTCAAATACCTCTAGAAATTAAAAAAAATCAAAACAAAAAGGAAGCTTTATCACATGCAAGTTAAGATTTTCTTTCAATTAGAATTTATTTCAAGCATACATAAGTGAAAATGCAAAGAAAATGTCACAAGTTGACAGTCTTGAAATTTACAGTACACTATATACCCAATGCCTGCAGTTTTTGCAAATGACTGCTTCTGTTGGTAAAACTGGCACTGACTCTCTATATTAAGTCTTTGAATCTAATGGGTGTCCTGGAATTATTATAATACAACAATTATTGAAGATAAAAGGATCAGAAATCTTCCTTCATGTATATTATGTATGTATATTGAATGTACAAGTAACTCAACAAAAAGCACGTAATATATAACATCACAATTCATGTAAACAGATCAGTTCTACAAAATATATCTTTTTGTTTATTCAGTATAACATGTGGTAGAATAAAACAGGTATATCATAACTATGCAGAACGGTATTTGCAAGGGAATTTTTCAATCATGATTCAGTTGTTTAATGCACATCTTCTAGTTTCAAACAGGATCAATCTGTTTGAATTACATGTAGTATTAATAATCATAGACTACTATTTATTTTTATAACTTTATGGTTGAATTAAAACTACACATTTTAATGATATGATAAACTATTCAGTTTATGCTCTGGTTAATTTTCTTTAATCCTTAAAGGTATTTTTTAAAATAACTTGGTCATGTATTCTATTTTTATTTTTAACATTCAGCGTTTCATTTTGTACTTTCTTAAGTACATGTATTATATATGGTTTTTCAACATAGATGATGTTGATATATACCAAAATTTTAAATGAATGTACACATGATCATGATGATTGGCAGCATAGATAGGTCATCAATCTTTCAAACACTTAAGTCTTTAAATCTTAAATTTTTTATGTCTTTAGGGGTTTAAACAAGTGCTTAGACCATTAATACATCAATGTTTATAGTTGCAAAACTATTTCCTTTTTACACACCAAGAAATAAGATTGGATCTCTGCAGTCTACTAATCTGATTAAAATTTAAGTCTTCATGTACTGACAGGGTTCTCACTAAGAGTAGTCCATGAGTCATTTTTTGAACTTGTGATTACAATGATGCAGCAAAATTATCAGCAGCTAGCTGAGTCCAGTTATCATCATTTCATTGCAGAATTTTTAAAAATAAAAGTTTTATTTTGTTGTGAAGGTTTACAAAAATGTAACTAATATATTAAGGCTTTTCTTCACTATATTGGCTTAGACAAAAAGGATTGAAAATGGTGAGTCCTGGACTCTCCTACAGAAATCAATGATAATGTTTTTGAACTAAATAATAAATAAATGGGGAATGTGTCCATGGGACACAGATGATGCCCCCGCTTGCATATAACGTTACAAAGAGTATAACTCAAGACCTGTGAAAGTGACATTACCCAAATTTGTACTTGATCTGAGATTTGTGGTAATAAGCATTGTGCATAAGTTTCATAACATTTGGTTGATGCAAACTAAAGTTAGAGAACAGAAACAAATACTTCAGGAATTTTTCCATTTGTAAAGGGGCATAACTCTAGAACAGTAAAAGTGACACCACCAAAATTCAAACTTGATCTGTGTTTTGTGGTAATAAGCATTGTGTATAAGTTTCATAAGATTTGGTTGAGGCAAACTAAAGTTAGAGAACAGAAATGAAAAATTCATCAATTTTTCCATTTGTAAAGGGGCTAAACTCTAGAACGATAAAAGTGATGCCACCAAAATTCACACTTGATCTGTGTTTTGTGGTAATAAGCATTGTGTATAAGTTTCATAACATTTGGATGAGTCAAACTAAAGTTAGAACACGGAAACGAAAAATTCAGCATTTTTTCCATTTGTAAAGGGGCATAACTCTAGAACGGTAAAAGTGATGCCACCAAAATTCAAACTTGATCTGTGTTTTGTGCTAATAAGCATTGTGTATAAGTTTCATAACATTTGGTTGAGGCAAACTAAAGTTAGAGAACGGAAACCAATTTTGGGACGTACAGATGGACGGGTGTACGGACGTACGTACAGACGGACAAGGGTAAAACTTAATGCCCCCTCCGCCAGGGCGGGGCCATAAAAATGAAATAGGAACAATATGCTTTCTGTTTCGCCCCCCCCCCCCCCCCCCCCCCCCCCCCCCCAGAATATTGTCTAAATGTAACAACTGTACAACAGACATTCTCTACAAGATAACCTGTGAACTTGTTTATAAATTGTGCTTAATTAAATCGGTTATTTCATTTCTACATGTATACTTCTAAAATAACAAGGTCCGATTTGTTAGCCAGCATGACGTAAAAACGATGAATCAAAGAATTCAACTTTATATATAACTAATATATAGGATAATGGTGTTGTTTTAGCCGGCATGATGTAAACACAGAATGAAAGAATTCAACTTTAAATATAACTAATATATAGGATAATGGTGTTGTTTAAAAATTACACCATTCCAGGCCCTTATGTTTTCCACATAATTAATATAGTTAACAAGTTCCTTTTGAATCCAATACCAACAGTATATGTCACATGTAGTTTCCGGTTGTAGTTACCTTCTGTAAATCCCTCCTCTATCAAGAGAACCTGGAATTCTTCCAGTAGTTGTTTTATATCTACATATGTATGTTACACTACAGTACACAATTTAACAAGTCTGTTTTCTTCCACCTCAATACCACTTTTAATTTTGGTTAATTAGTTAAAAAATTAAATTTAGTTTATAGTAAGTTTATTGTGGTAAGAAAACCAGGACGGGTTCAAACAGAAAGATTTTGAAAGCAGAGAAAACTGTGCACCTCTTTATCAGATGACAATACAAATACTAAAAATCCAGGCTAAAAATAAGACATAGGTACTTTAATTCAGTCACGGACCTGTGATGTCGCAGATGTGTTCTATTACTAAGTAAAGCTGGAAAGTCTCCAGGATACTGACCATGAACCTTACATGTACATTTTAGCTCTCCAATTTTTATTGATTATGGCTTACAAATATACTTCTACACACATTATGACATAGCACCCAACAATAATTATAATTACATCAAAAAACCCTTGGCAATAAACTTGGAAACTGAAACAAATTATTCTATGTCAACATGTCCAAACAGTATAGAGCTTGCTAACAAAGTTTAATTTTGTTAAGGGAGTCTTAATTATCTATCTATAAAATTACATACTAATGATACACTACCTTTCAATTTATGAAATCATTACAACTAAAACAATACGGGAATACACTAAAATATCAGAATTGTAGTTATTTTATGAAAATACACAAAATACTGGT